AAATCACCAGTCAGGCATGGTGGTGCACACCTGTAATTCCAGCACTTGGGAAACTGAGGCAGGAGGTTCACCTCAAGTTTAAAACTAGCTTAGGCTGCATACTGTGTGCAAGGCCAGCCTGGACTACATAGAGCCTGTCTGAATACCCACCCCCCAAAAAAGAGAGATCATTAGTGATTTGTGTGTGTGTGTGTATGAGAGGGAGACAGAGACAGCGAGAGAAAGAGACAGACAGACAGGGTCTCACTTTGTAATTCAGGTTGGTCTTGAACTTACTATGTAGCCCAGGCTGGCCTCAAACTCATGGCATTCCTGCCTCAGCCTCTCAGGTACTGGTATTACAAGTATGTACCACCTTGCCTGGTTTCATTAGTTTTAAACCTTTTTTTAAAAATTTTTTTATTTTTAATTTTATTTTTTTTTCCCAGTACCAGGGATCAAACTCACGACCTTGCACTTGCCGGGCAGGCTCTGTGCCGCTGAGCTAAATCCCCAGCCCCCAATTAGTGACTTTTTAAAAACCAGTTTTAATTGAATGATGAAGTAGTGATATATGAAATATTAGAGGTCTCAATTGTTTTGACTTCAAAACGGAATGAGAATGGATGTATGTGAAGAATTTCACAAAGAAAATTGAAAGTATTATAAAGCACAAACCAGTCCACTCTTCTACACTCTTTAAACATTAACTGATTGAATTTCCCATAACAACTATGAAATAATTTGCTTTTGGTAGATGGGAAAACTGGGGCAGGATGGTTTAACCTAGTAAGTGGTTGAGCAGGGTTTTAGTCCTAGGAAATATGGCTCCAGAGACCATATTTTTCCTATTCTGCATGCAATAAGAATATAGGAGTCAAAGGAATAGGAAAATTATAAACAAAAATGGGCTTACTGATTGAAAAAAAAAATGGAAAAGCTTCAGAAAGAGACCCAGGTTAAGAAAATGGTAAGAAATGAGTTTGTGCTTGTGTTGTTTTTTATTTTTTCCTGTCTTAGAGCTTTTCCCACTCTATGCCAGTTTAGGTTTGTTTCTTCCACTCTCATGCTTTCCCTTGTCACCTACCAATTATCAGGTTCCCCTGCAGCTTCAGTCCCAAATCCAGACAGCTGGTAGAGTCCAATGGATCACTTCATTCTTGATATCATCTTGATATTCATCTTGATCTCATGTAGACTTTTCTAACTAAACATTTTTATTGGCAGATTCATGAGCCCTACTTCCAGTGTTCTATAGTATATTGAATGACATTGTCAAAGGTATCCAGTCACTCAAACCTAGTATCTTGGGGTTGTCTTGGGCCTTCCTTTCTTGTTCCCCCCATTTAGTTACCAAGATCATCAGTTCTTTATTTGAAATAAGTCTCAAATGTTTCTTCTCTTCATCCATATAATCATTATTTGTATTCAGACTTACATCATTTCTGTCTTGATTTGTTACAGTAAAAGAACATTAAAAGGTTTCCTTGCCTCCAGAGTTCTCCAAGCCTCCTTTTTATTTCTGACTTACTGAGTTTGACATAGTGTGAGAAGTGTGGGCATCATGCATGGCAAGTGACACAGTAGCCTAGAGTAGTTATTTTGAGTGGTTTAAATGGACATTAATGAGAACAGGACATTTAAGGAGTCTTATCATAGAGAAGGTAATAAAGCATTGAGAAACAGTACAGAAACCAGTAAAAAATCTAAGATAGAGCTTTGAAGAATTTACTTGCTATTTTGGAGGGTAGGGATTGAGGATTGAACCCAGGACCTCATGCATATGAGGCAAGTGCTGTACCACTGAGCTACATTCCCAGTCCCAGATTTGCTTACTCTGACACAAGTTAGTGAAGCCACAAGGAATAGACCAGCAAAGCAATGATAAAAAAAAAAACTAAGGTCAGTTGTTAAGTAACTTGTTCAGTTCTTTTTAAAAATTTAAGAAGAATGAACTACAACTGGGAATTTAGCTCCTCAGTAGTAGTTTACTGTTATACAGTCATGGGAGACTTGTGGACACAATATAAACAGAAAGTGATCTTAAATGAGAATATTCCTATTGATGTTTGAGAATTGGTCATTAGCAGTACTTAGATTTAATTTCTATAACCTAGGCCAGTGGTGGCGAATCTGTGGAACCCATGCCACAGTGGGCTGTTTATATCATTGAAAGCTCTAAAAGGTTCACCATCGCTGACCTAGGCAGTAGATGATAAGGACCTAAACCCCGGCAATGATGGTAAGAATGGAGAATTGTTGGGAATCCCTCTGAGGAAAAACTGACAGAATGCGGTGACCACGACTGTATAAATTCTTTACTTTCAGTTACAGGAACGGTGCTATAAATTAGAATTACATGATGTTTATGTGATGTTTATGAATATTAATAATTATTGAAGTTATCTACACTTAGGAATTCTGAATTCAGATACATTCATGTTTATCCTGTTTTATTTGCAAATGGTATTAAGTTTCTACATGAGTAAATACATAAAGGATAGAAAACTAACAGATAAGAAAGGAAAGATAAGGGCATAAAAAGTACAAATAGAAATATGATTAATATATAATGTGGCTTACCATTTAAGTCCTCTATACTTGATAAAAATTTGGCTTTAAGTTGGTCTTAAGTAGTTCTTTTATGTTTTAAACATAAACGTTTTGTATAATTAAAGACAGTCGTGTACAAATCATAAGTATACTGCTCAACAGATTTTGTGGCCTACATTTGTGATGCTCAATATAAAGAAGATAATATGCACAGCTGCCCTGTTAAAAATATCATCCTAAGATAAAACTGTGGTGGGCATGGTGGAGCACACCTGTAATCACAGCTACTCAGGATGCTGAAGAGGAGGATTCCAAGTTCAAGGCCAGACTGGGTAACTTAACAAGACCTATCTAAAATTTAAAAAAACAGGTTTTTTTTTTTTAAAGGGCTGAGAAGTATGGCTCAATAGTAGAGCACTTGGCTAACACATATGAGATCCTGAGCTTGAGCCCCTATATCACAAAAACAAAAACAAAACTAGCCTAGTTGTGTCATACATAGATCTCTGGCACTGTGCAGCTTGGGCACGAGTTCCATGTCTAACACCACTGTCAACGCTATTATTGTCAGCATGTTATTAGGAACAATACCTACCTATGAAGACTTTCAAGTTTAAATGGGTCAATTTAATTAAAGCATATAGAGCTGCACTTAGAATATACCAAAGGCTCAAAAAAGATGTTATCATTTTTCTTCTTAAAGAAAAAAACCAAGTTCATTACAAGCATAGTTATTTTTATATTACCTATTTCTGTGTATGATGCTGGGTATTAACCAGGAAGTCTTGTATGTGCTAAACATGTGCTCGGCCTCTGAACTGCAGACCAGCCCCATATTGTTTATTTTTAATATTCTTTTTAAAAAGTGCTTAAAATTTGATTTTTTTTTTTTTTTTTTTGGTTTTCCCCAGTACCGGGAACCGAACTCACGACCTTGCGCTTGCCAGGCAGGCACTTTTGCCGCTGAGCTAAATCCCCAGCCCCCTTAAAATTTGATTTTATATGATCCCAACTGTATTGGAAGCAAACCCTAGAAATAGGTTTTTCCCAGGGCACTCAAATATCCTAATGTTGAAGGACATGCATATCATAACTCGATAGTAAGTTTGTAGGAAACATTAAAAATTCTTTATATGGCTGGGTTTTGTATAAGGAGCTGTATAGAGTGAACCAAACAGTTTGTCCTTGCCCTCAAATAACTAACAATCTATTGGACAGGAAAGAAGGGATAAACTGGCCTGGAAATAGGAGTTTATCAGAAGGAGACAATAGAGTAAATTGACACATATTAGGAAAAACCTTCCTAACATAAACAAATTATTCTCATATTCTTTGACTTCAGCAAAGTAAGCACTTTCCCGAGATACCCGTTTGGCTGCTCTCATTGGTAAGTATTTTTGAGAACCAATGAATAGAAAGCAAATGAAACCATGTTCTAGCACATTTTTAGTAAAACAAGGAACAACAACCCCTCATAATAGTTACATAAAGCATAGTGAGTACTGTCATACTATAGGTAGAAACAGTGTTTGTATATAATTGCAACTAGGAAAATACCAACCTGAGCGTATCATGGTTAGCTATAATGCATTTAAAACCAACAGACTTTTTTTTTTTTTTTTTTTGAGACAGGATCTTGCTATGTAGTTCACACTGGCCTTGAACTCACTATATAGCCTAGAGTGGCCCTGAACTTGCAGCCACCTTCCTGCCTCAGCCTCCTGAGTGCTGGGATTATAGGTTTGCTGGCACATGCCTGGCCCCAGTAGAACTCTTAACAAGAAAATCCCACTTTTGTTTGGCCAGTTGAAACAACAGTCATTTTTTAAACTTCTGATTATAAATTGGAATGTTTATTGTTCTATTTCTAGAGTGAATAACCTGCTACAATTTCTAAAATTGACCAGTAATAATATAGTTTTGCAGCTTTAAATTACTGACAACTCTCTGTATTTTCTAGATTTTTTCTTTACATTTCATACTTTTTTCTGAAACTATGTTTTCTTTTCTACATTCTTCTTTAGTGCACTTTTAAATATTTTCCATACATTCAGAATGTCATGTAGGGAAAAGCGTCTACTTTGTGTTTATTGTTAATATACCTGCGCCATAATAGTTCTCTCATCTACATTCAGCTGAATTCCCTAGTTTAGAATCCTGACCCATTCATTTTTTTCATTCTGTATCTATCAGTTGCCCAGTTCTTATAAATAGCTTTTTAAATCTTTTCTTGCTTCTTACTCCCATTTTCATTCTTTCCTTCTCCCTGTGGCCTTAGACCTATAATGTGTCTGCAGTGATTGTGCTAGTCTTCTTAACAATTCTTCTTTCTTACTACTGTCAAACTAATCCTATATGCTCAACAACTGCAAACCGAATACATCTGTGTTTTGTACAGGTCAGGTGATGGCAACACTTAGCAGTTTGTGTAGAAGAGAGTTTTTTTTTTTTTGTTGGTTTTTCTCTGGTACCGGGAACCGAACTCATGACCTTGCGCTTGCCAGGCAGTAGAAGAGAGTTTGGTCAGTAATGAACATCAGTGTGGCTGCATTAAGTAGAATTTGAAGCAAAAAGAAAAGAATTTTGGCCTAGAAGATGCAGGTTCCTAGCATTAGCCCTAATAAACAGGATGGAGATGTTCAATATGATACGTTCATTTGCTCTAATGTTATGAAACAGAGTCTGGAGAGAAGAAAGTATTAAATGTTTTGAGTATTATAATAGAGGTACTACGCCACGGGCCTTAGAGAACTCTTCTACTCTAGTGGGTCAGGGAAGGGCCTCTCAAGAGGAAATAAAAAGGGGCTGGGGATTTAGCTCAGCGGCAAAGCACCTGCTTGGCAAGCGCAAGGTCGTGAGTTCGGTTCCTGGTACCGGAGAAAAACCAAAAAAAAAAAAAAAAGAGGAAATAAAAGGGCTGGGGATTTAGCTCAGCGGCAAAGCGCCTGCCTGGCAAGCGCAAGGTCGTGAGTTTGGTTCCCGGAACCAGAAAAAAAGAAAAAAAAAAAAAAAAAAAAAAAGAGGAAATAAAAGAATCAGTATTGGCTAGACGGTAGTGTTCTAGACTAAGGAAACAAGTGTGATAAGGCCTGGATTCAATAGAATGACATTATGTAATAGGCATTGAGGAGTAAACAAAGTCTGGATTCTCTCATCAAGAGCTAATATTCTGGAAGCCTCTGTAAGTCAGTGTTATAGAAGTTAAGATTTGAAAAAAAATGACCTTCAGGTTCCAGGAGAAGCTGGTTGTCTCATCTAACTCAGAACTAAGGGACAAAGGGGCTGGGGATTTAGCTCAGTGGTACAGCGCCTGCCAGGCAGGCGTGAGATCTTGAGTTCGATTCCTGGTACTGGAAAAAAAAAAAAAAAAAGAACTGAGGGACGAGTACACAAAATTCAAGGTGAATTTACTAATGCACTGAGATTGTTGAACTATTTTCAGAAAGCTGACATACCTGCTGCTCTCATAGAAGATTGGTAGTAAGAAGAGAATGCCAAGCCAGACATGGTGTTGTATACCTATAATCACAGAATTTGGTAGGCTGAGGCAGGAGGATTTGCAAGTTCAAGAAGGATTGTGAGCCTGAGCTACATAAGAAGACTCTGTCTCAAAATAACAAAAACAAAACAAAACAAAAAATAGAATGCCGTTTTATTATCTTTATAATAGGATTACCAGTTTGGCATGGCTAATTCATCTTTCACCTTTAAAAAGACATATGGGAAGCCAAGTCTGGAGAAAATCTGGAGACTGAAATCTGAATGTGAAGTCTTTTTCCCCCAACAAAAGTGCTATTTAAACAGGAGTTTTGCTATATATGAATGAGTTTTGTTTAATGGTGCTGAAGACTGAGCCCAGCACTTCAGGCACGCTAGACAAGTGCTTTAGCACTTAACCCCCTAATTCTGTGTACAGTTTTGGCAAGGGTATCTTCTCCATAGTTTAATGGGTTATGCCAATGTTTACCTTAATTATTACTAAGACTTAATAAATTTATACTCAAGAGGTTAGTCTTTATCCATGAGTCAATAGGATGTAAGTACATCTGGTTTTGAAAGAAGATACGGTAGAGTGTGAGTTACGTTAGCAGGAATAGAAGCTAGAAGCCAAGGGAAACATTTACGAATAGTTCTAATAATGATGGATGAATAAGGATGAAGAAGAAAGAACAGAACCTAGTAGGGATTGATTTGATCTATCTTACTTCTACTCAGAATTCCACCATGTGGCTCATCTGTTTTTTCTGTATCAAGTTTAGTTTGTTTGTTTTTTGGTATATGTATTACTGAGGATTGAACCCATGAACTTTACACTAACCTATGTCCCCAGTCTTCGTTTTTTTGAGATAGGGTCTTACCAAGTCATTAAATTGCCCAGGCTAAGCTCAAACTTCGAATCCTCCTGCTGTTCTCCATTGGGATTACAGTTGTGCACCACCATGAGTGAATTCTTTATTTTCTATATCAAAATGTGTTGCTTAAAAGAGAGTTTGGATTTGTCTACAGTGTACAGGATAAAGAATTATGCTAATGACACTGATTTAACATTGTCCTTTCAGTTTGTGGCTTTTATTTTATTGCATAAAGAAATAGGTAAATATATTCACATCAGTATGAACAGATGTGAGGATTTCTGCAGAATGAACATGGTTATTTAAAGTACAAAGAAAAGGAAAAAGTATTTTGTTTTAGGAGCAGGTTTAGTTTCATGGAGAAGAAAATAATTACTTTATCTTTGCTTGTGTTGGGGGATGTTTCAGTTTGTTTTTGAAAGTACATAGAATTCTCATGTGAGTGATTAACTTAAAATTATTTTGTACTCATTCAACATATTCTTGTACTCAGTATCTTAAAAAGTTGAGTGAATGTCCAGCTATTTACACTTACACATGTCCACTCTTTAGGTGCAATTGACACTTGATGTTGGTAAGGAGTAATTTTTAACAGCCTTTGAGAGTCTTGTGGTAACTTCCTCTTTCAAGGACAATTTCATTCGGATACATACAAAACAGATATGACAACACATTTGATTTTGGAAGGTAAATCCAGATTTCTTAATTGTTCGCATTTCCTTAAATTCAACCTTTTTACATTTCTGTTCTTTAGGTCTGCCAAAATGTCTGAAAGATCAGATCTCCTTCACTTCAAGTTTGAAAATTATGGAGATTCAATGTTACAAAAAATGAACAAATTAAGAGAAGAGAATAAATTTTGTGATGTTACAGTTCTCATAGATGATATTGAGGTGCAGGGACATAAAATTGTGTTTGCTGCAGGTTCCCCCTTCTTAAGAGACCAGTTTTTACTGAATGATTCCAGAGAGGTGAAAATCTCCATATTACAGAGTTCTGAAGTGGGGAGACAATTGCTCTTATCCTGTTATAGTGGTGTGCTGGAATTCCCTGAGATGGAACTGGTAAATTACTTGACTGCTGCAAGTTTTCTTCAGATGAGCCACATTGTAGAACGATGCACACAGGCCCTGTGGAAATTTATAAAGCCAAAGCAGCCAATGGATAGTAAAGAGGGATGTGAACCGCAGAGTGCTTCTCCCCAGTCAAAAGAACAGCAGGGAGATGCCAGAGGCTCCCCAAAGCAGGACTCACCTTGTATTCATCCATCTGAAGACAGTATGGATATGGAGGACAGTGATATTCAGATTGTTAAAGTAGAATCTATTGGGGATGTATCAGAGGTTAGAAGTAAAAAAGATCAGAACCAGTTTATTTCTTCTGAACCCACTGCTTTACATTCATCAGAACCCCAGCACTCCCTGATAAATTCAACTGTGGAAAACAGAGTAAGTGAAATAGAACAAACCCACCTCCACAATTATGCTCTGTCTTACGCAGGCAGTGATAACATCATCATGACCTCAAAAGATGTCTTCGGGCCTAATATTCGAGGTGTAGACAAAGGCCTACAGTGGCATCACCAGTGCCCAAAGTGTACCAGGGTGTTCCGTCACCTGGAGAACTACGCCAACCATTTAAAAATGCACAAACTCTTTATGTGTCTACTCTGCGGCAAGACTTTTACTCAGAAAGGCAACCTTCATCGACACATGCGTGTGCATGCCGGAATTAAACCTTTCCAGTGTAAAATCTGTGGGAAAACCTTTTCTCAGAAGTGTTCCTTACAGGATCATCTTAATCTTCACAGTGGAGATAAGCCCCATAAGTGTAACTATTGTGACATGGTATTTGCACATAAGCCAGTTTTGAGGAAACACCTTAAACAGTTGCATGGCAAAAACAGCTTTGATAATGCCAATGAGAGAAATGTGCAAGACCTCACAGTGGATTATGATTCTTTTGCATGTACAACAGTCACAGACTCTAAAGGGTGTCAGCCACAGCCTGATGGAACACAGGTCCTGGATGCAGGTAAACTGGCCCAAGCTGTCCTCAGCTTAAGGAGTGATAGTACTTGTGTGAATTGAGTAGAGGCTTAATCACAACTAGAACTGACTGTCAGTGTGGCAATAGTCTTGAGTCTTTTTTTAGGAGTGATTTTACTAGTTTTACTTCTCCAAAACCTCCAATGTAGGTGGTAGGGGGTAAGTTAAAGCACTAATAGACCAGGCAACTTACCACTTGGAGTGGTTTTGCCTTCCTTTTGCCCTCTCCCATAAATAACTCTGTTTTGAGTTATTTATTTTGTGATGTCTGTTTTCTTTCCCAAGGGATAATTCCATTTATCTACCTAACGTTGACTTATGTCTTAGACTGACACTGTTTTAGGCTTTCACCAGCACATTCTAAAAGTACCAAACGGTTAATAACATTACCTGCTCTCCACTAATAGATGCTGTGCTAAAAGAAGTGAATAATAATTTTCTTTGGCAAAAAATAGACTAAGATAAAAGATGATACTGCTGTTGACCTAAATATGTGATAAAACCCTACGGTTACCTATTGATAATTGATCCATGTCTGATAAATGAACAAATCTACTTCCTATCCTTTGTACTTGTCTTGGAGCTGGCTCTAAAGAAGTATGTTGGTTTACTCTGTATACTTTCCAACACTACCACGGCCCAACTTCATCTCACTGAATTGTTTGTATAGACCAGAGTATACGCTTTTCAAAAACACCCACAGACAAATAGAGATCACCATAGAAGGCATAATGAAGGAAAGAAGAACAATTATAAAGCAACACGTAAGTGAGAGGGTTTCCAGGTAGCACATCCCAGTAAAAGGCCAGATGCTTGCCAGGAATATAGCTCAGTGGCACAGTGCCTGCCTGGCAAGTGCGAGGTCGTGAGTTCGATTCCCAGTACCAAAAAATAAAAAAGAGGCCAGATGCTTAATGTGACACTGATGCTTTTGAAATCAGGATTGCTTCTGGCATACTTTTTAGTCCTAAAAAATAATGATCTCTCCAGAAAAGTAGTATTTGAGAACTTCTGAATTTCATATCAGAGTTTAACCATCAGAAAGGTGAGTTTAGCCATCAGAATTTTGTCCTTTATAAGTGTACCTAAGTTCTTAAAATAGATGAAAAAAGTTAAATGAGACACATAAGAGCAACCGATTTTTTTTTTTTTTTTTTTTTGCATTCAAATATTTTCCTTAAAAGTACACTACCCCACTTTGCCACCTTAGACAGACTTATAATAATACAAAGTTGGCCTTCCAGTTCGGGAAGAATAAAACTATTTTTCCTTAAGCACACTTCACACATAAAATTTTGAGTACTACTTGGTCCTAACCCATGGGTTAGACTTAGATAGTAGGAGTGTTAGAGTACAGTACTTAGAGAATCTTAAAGAGACATTTACTCCTCCTCCTTAATTTAAATTGGGACATCCAAAGCCCAAAGAAGTGGCCTGGCCAATGTTGGCTAAACTAAATAAGTGACTAACTATAAACTAATGTCTCTTTATTTCTTCCCACTACACTTTGACTTAAAAATCTACAAGTTGAAGAACAGTGCATTAGCAAAAACGTCTCCAGTTTTATGTTTCACTTTTTGTGTTTCCCTGCTGGCTTTCTGAGACAACCTGGATCTTGCCAGCAAAACATCACCAAGGAACTTATTTAATTATTATTTTTTAAATTTTATTTTTACTGAACCCAGGGTCTCATGTATGCTAGGCATACATTCTTCCACTGCCTTATATCCCCAGCCCCTGTCGGTTATTTTTTAGATGAGTATTACATTCTTCTCAAGCATTTAGTTTATTTTTTGACTGTTAGGGAGGGAAAAGGCAAGAATAATGTGAAAAGGATCCAAATGTGAAATGCATTTTATCTGGAAAACTGTTTCATTTCTGTCAAGGTTTTCGCTTTTGTTTTTGAGCTGAGAGAGTACATGTACAAATAATCCAAAAGTTAGGCTTTATTTATATAGTCAGAGAAAATTATAATTTGATATATTCCCAAGTGAGTGTGATTTGAGGTATAACTTCTCTTCCTTTCAGATATTTAATGTGAGAATAGAGGTTAGTGATAAAACTTACCGGTACCTTATGCCGGCATCAGTCATTGTCAAATGATACTTCCTAGCATTGTGATTTTTATAGGATCCAGCCAGGAGTACCAATTCTATGCAACAGTGAGCCTACTAAGCCAACCAGTATTTTCTCTGAACATCATTTCTTGGCAGAAAAATTTCAGTACTTCTTTGCTCACATTCATGTTTTGTTTTTGTTACTCACTTGAAGACTGAAGCACAGGGGTTTGAATAAAATTGGTCTCTTTGGTTGGAAACTATTTCTAGGTTCATTTAGATCATTCCCGAAACTGGTTTTTTGGTTTTTGGTTTTCATTTATTTTTGACAGGGTCTTGCTGCGTAGTTCAGGCTGGCCTTGAACTCACCATGTAACCCAGGCTAGACTCATACTCACGGCAATCCTTCTGCCTTGGCCTCCGCAGTGCTAGGATTACAGGCGTGCACCACCATACCTGGCTGGAACTTTTTTTTTAATACTGTAAATTGAACCTAGGGCCTGTGCATGTTAAACATGTACTCTACCACTGAACGCAAGAAACATTTACTAAGCACTTCTGTTGCTGGGCACTATGCTAAATACTAAAGATATGAAGGTAAGATTGATAAGGTCCCTGCCCTCACGGAGTTTATGGTCTCATGTGGTCTTTAACAGAGTCAAGGTCTCGATTAGATTTTGTACTAGGAGTAATTAAATTACCTTTTTTCCTTTGATCACTTACACTCAGCATTTTTTTTATTTTCTGTTAGTAAAACTTACAGTTCTCATTGTTTGCAAGTAAAAACCACTGAAGTAATTTGCAAGCTCCTCCATTTCTTGCTGGGAGAAGTGTTCTGTTTCTGTGAGATATTTTGTTTCCTAATTTCAGTGGCACTTGTGTTTTCTCTTTCACTTATACATGTTTTTTAGATTGTATTGCAAAGAAGTCAAGTTACTGGTGTCAAGTACATTTTATAGGAGAACATGATTTTCAAACCTAGAAGGAAGAGTTTTAAAACTTTAGTCATTTGTATTTTATGGATCCCAGATAATTGAAAAGAGGACTTTTTGAGCATAGTTTGATTTTTAAAAACTTACTTTGTCACAGTTATTTATTATTTAACTTTACAGACAAACTCCAAACTGAAATGGCTCTGAGGTAAATCAGATGTAGTTTTAATTTGTTTTAGTTCCTTTACTGGAAGATCTATAAATAGACACTGGTCATTGCTTCTAAAATATTAAACAACTCAAAACATTTTATTTCAGCTCATGAATAGCTGTTCTAAATCTGTTGTATGTTAGACATACTGTGAACTACCTCTTCACTTATTATGGGGAAGTTTCCTTAATAAAAGTGTGACAATTAAAACTCTGGTGTCAGTGGTTTACTTTCTTACCCTTCCCCCTTTTACAGTTGCTTGAATTTGAATCCAGGAGTGCTTCTATTCTTTAAATACATTTTAATTAAGCCTGATGAAAACAACAACAAAAAAAAAAAACTCAAAAGGGCCGGGGATATAGTTCAGTGGCACAAGCGCCTGCCTGGCAAGCGCAAGGTCCTGAGTTCGATTTCCGGTACCAAAAAACAACAACAAAAAAAAAAGCCTGATGACTTTGCCTTCAGAAGGAAGTATGGACTAACAAGAAATTAGTTATTACTAGAGTCAGTTATTTCCATGAGAATCTGCTGATTGAGGAGACAAAAGCAATAGCTTGTAAGAACTTCATTACACAAATACTTCATGCCTACTAAGTACTAGACTTCTGGAATGCACAGACCAGTAAGCAGTTGGCCCTAAATGCCTCAGCCTCAATGGGACTCAATTTCAATGTAGGTTGTGAGTAAAATATTGAAAGCAAGCAAATGAATAACAGGTTCCAACTAGAAATCAGTTAATTTAAGGGTATATCAGGATGGCATGTGGGATGATGTGATTTATGAACAGTTTTGAATAAGTGAGAAGTGCTTTGCACGTGCAAGGCCTTGGATCCAGTCCCAACAGCAAGGAAGGGAGAGGAAGGGCCCGGGATATAGCTCAGTGGCACCAGCGCCTGCTTGTAAGTGCAAGGTCCTGAGTTCAATTCCTGACACCAAAAAAAAGGGGGTGGGGAAGGGGACATGTAGCTCAGTGGTAGGTAGCTCTGCGTAGCACTCTGGGTTTGACATAGGACCCATAGGCTGTAGAAGCCCTATTGTAGTTTCTCTTGCCATTTTGGAAATTGTAGTTGGTCCCAATGAAAACCTGCCCCTTAGTCTGTAAGAACCCTCCAAGAGTTCGGATTTTGGAACCTGACGTCCGCTCCATAACCAGCTTTAAAATCAGTTTCCAATTTGGGTGTTGGGAAAGGGAATGGCTTACGTGCTGAAACTAGGACCGAATAGAGTGGACTTGCCATATTCGGACGCCTTTTTGTTATTCCAGGAACGCAGGAAATGAGAAAGAAAGACCAGCGCAGGATGTCCTTCCGGGGCGCCCAGGCGGTCTTAGCACAAAATAAAACTGGTTGATACCGGATGTGTTTCCTCCAGGCTAAGTCCATCTTCCGGCCTGGGCCCTGCTGCCGCGGAAGCCTCAACCCCAATTTTGTGAGTCGGTAAGTGAACCCGAAGGACGTTCGCCAGGTAGCAAAGCCTGGTGAAGAAAAGGAGGAGGCGGTCAGCTGGGCGTGGCCTCTGAGTGGCTAATCTGCTGCCGCGGACCCTTGTCTGACACTGCTCCGGGTTGGGAAGAACTCAGTGCCGAACTGGAGAGATTTTTTCCAGGCCACCTGGGATCCAGTTTTAGTTCAACAGATGTTCCCCGCGCTCCTCTTGCTAATGCGTGGGCTCCTGTGGTAGGTGGAGAAACACAGATGAAGCAGCCACCCTCTCCGAGCCCTGGGAACGACTGTGCAGGGGAGGAGTCATATTAGTCTTACTTGGTTTGGGCTTAAAGGAGCCAAATCAGTTCCTGGGAGAAAGCTGGAAACCAAATGTAATAGCGGTGCAAAGTTATTATATGGGTGGTTTTTTAAGGATAAGGATGAAAACTTAATATCTAAGCTTGGAGTATGAAAAATACAGTACAGGGAGATAAAGCTATAAAGATGGGTTCTGGCCAAACTATGAAAGAAGTTACATTCTTTTTAAGAATGAAAAGGCTGCCTGGCAGAGGCGAGCCATTGAGGACGTAAAGCAGAAGGCCGGGGGACGTGAAAAAATACTTTCAAGTTCTGTTGAAATGCAGGAAAGGGGGTTGGGGATTTAGCTCAGTGGTACAGCGCCTGCCTGGCAAGCGTGAGGTCGTGAGTTCGATTCCTGGTACCGGAAAAAAAAAAAAAAAAAAAAGAAGAAGAAATTCAGGAAAGTAGTTGGGAATACAGGAGAGTGTTAGGTCAAGGAGACCTGTTGAAGACATTGCAATGGTCTGTTTGAAGAGGACTCAGGACCTATAACAGTAGTAGGGAGTAGGACGTTAGGACGCTACATTAAAGGTTTCTAATTTGGGATACTATGTTAATTACCGTGATTACTGTGTTATGGTGATTACTGTGCTTATTGTTGAATACTCAAATTTATGTGTTCTTGACTAGAAGGCACATAAAGTTTAGCCAAGGAGGCAAGCATAGAAACAATTACCAACAGGGGCTGGGTATTTAGCTCAGCGGCACAGTGCCTGCCTGGCAAGGGCAAGGTCATAAGTTCAATTCCCGGTACCGGGAAGAAAAAAAAAAAAGAGAAACTGTTACCAACAATTAAATGTAGTAGATGCTGTGACAGAAATATGAACACTGTGTATGAGCTTCTAGAGAAATGCATCATGATTTTATGGTTTTAATATGATGGTTTAGGACTTTACTCTTATTACCGAGAGTATAGTTTAGGTCTTCTTTTTCCCAAATCAGTTTAGGGGTGAGAGGGTTGTTTGTATTGTCACAACGTGGGAAAACATTTTCTATCCTTAAAGCGGTGTTTGTGTTTTATTTCACTTAGATTGTGACAATGGCCGCTGAATCTGAAGTTCTGCACTTCCAGTTTGAACAGCAAGGAGATGCAGTCTTGCAGAAAATGAATCTCTTGAGACAGCAGAATTTATTTTGTGATGTATCCATTTATATTAATGACACTGAGTTCCAGGGGCACAAGGTGATTTTGGCTGCATGCTCTACTTTCATGAGAGATCAGTTTTTACTCACACAGTCAAAACATGTCAGAATCACCATCCTGCAGAGTGCAGAGGTTGGAAGAAAATTGTTACTCTCTTGCTACACTGGAGCACTAGAAGTTAAAAGGAAAGAGCTTTTGAAATATTTGACTGCTGCCAGTTACCTTCAGATGGTTCACATTGTGGAAAAGTGCACAGAGGCTTTGTCAAAGTATCTGGAAATCGATCTTGCTATGAAAAATAACAACCAGCACACTGACCTGTGTCAATCTTCTGATCCATATCATAAAAGTGAAGAAGAGAATTCTGAGAAAGACTGTGAGATAATTGAAATTTCAGAAGATAGTCCAGTAAACATAGATTTTCATGTTAAAGAAGAAGAAAACAATGCATTGCAGTCCACAGTGGGGAGCTTGACATCGGAAAGAAAGGAAATGAAGTCACCAGAGCTGTCTACAGTAGACATAGGTTTTAAGGACAATGAAATTTGTATCCTCCATGTAGAATCTATCAGTACGGCTGGTGTAGAAAATGGGCAGTTTTCACAGCCTTGTACTTCATCAAAAGCAAGCATGTATCTCTCTGAAACACAGCATTCATTGATTAATTCTACAGTCGAAAGCAGAGTGACAGAAGTTCCTGGAAATCATGGCCAGAGCTTATTTTGTGAGAATACCGATGGAAGTCATGGCACGGTGAACGAGATTCAGAATATGGAAGAGAGTCATTCAATGAGGCACCAGTGCCCCAGGTGTCCTCGAGGGTTTCTTCATGTTGAAAACTACCTACGCCATCTTAAGATGCATAAACTGTTCTTGTGCTTACAGTGTGGCAAAACATTCACACAGAAGAAAAATCTTAACCGGCACATTCGAGGGCACATGGGCATACGGCCCTTTCAGTGTACCGTGTGCTTAAAGACCTTCACCGCCAAAAGCACACTTCAGGACCACTTAAACATACATAGTGGGGATCGGCCATACAAATGTCACTGTTGTGATATGGATTTCAAGCACAAATCTGCCCTCAAAAAACACTTAACTTCTGTTCATGGCAGAAGTAGTGGTGAAAAACTATCTAGGCCTGATCTGAAAAGGCAAAATCTATTATGATTGGAATTGTGGACTTGCTGTGTAAACCTTGAATCTTTTTGTTAGGCAAGTCTTTGTGTAGAAATGCAGCATTTGTAATACTATACCCTCTCCCCTATTTAGGTTTTACTTTTGATCTACCTGCACATACTGCTTTGTCTGAACTGATAAAGGAGGCCTGATAAAGCCGATGGGATGAATTATATACTGTATAAATCCTAAAGGAATATATGCCTGGAGAAAGAGTGTTCTTTTAAACAGCCTCAATTCTAATTGACTGAGAACAGTATTTGCAGATTCTTTTTTTTTTTTTTTTTTTTTTGGTACTGGGAATCGAACGGTATTTGCAGATTCTAACGTGTATTTTCTAGGTAATTGATTTCAATGTTAAATCCAACCACATAATAACTTTAATGAAGTAGAGTGACAAAAAATAAATTTTAAAATACTGTTATCCATTACGGGTCACTTTAAGAACAAATAGGATTAGCAATTTTTTTCTTTTAACTTTTAGCCATGTTCTTAGGTTCTAAACTAAGGTGCTTACAGTTTAGAATTAAGGTACTTAAATTTTAAACTGTGAAAAAACAATTCAGATTTACTTGATGATAGCAGAATTTCCTTATAATGTGTTAATATTTCTTAAAATACTTTTATTGCTATTTGTGATCGTTTAGATGCCTTAGAATAATTAGGTCCACCTTTCTTGATTGTATTTAATACAATTGGATTGATAATTTTGTGGCCAGTAAAATAATGCCGTTGGCACAAAGCTATGAAAAATTACTTTTCTAGAAATTCCAGCTTTATCAAAGATACTTGTTTTACTGTGTTTTTCCCAAAGTTCCTCTTTATTTTGTCATTTATGTAGTATAGTTGACCTTTTTGGTGTATACTTCCATGAATTTTAACACATGTACATATTTGTGCACTATCAGTGCAGTCGAGATGCAGAACAATTCCATCACCTCTAAAAACCCCCTCACGCTGTTCCTTGTTACTTCCTCCTAGCTACAAATAGTTCTTCATTTCTATAATTTTGCCTTTTCTTGAAAGTTGTATAAATGAAATCTTATTTTTACCCAGCGTAACACCTTTGGAGTCATTCATGTACACACTAATAGCTCATTCTCCCTTTTTATTTTCACTTGCCAATATATATTCTGTCACCAATGAACAGTTTAAATACTAGTACCAACTATTAATTATAATTCTTAATTTACATTAATTCAGTTTACATTCATTATGTTAAGAAAAAATGTTAACCATCCCTAGAATTTTATTTGGTATTTCTGTAAAGTGCCAAAAGGAAAGTTATAATTGTGGTTATTTTAGTGAGTAATATTTCAAATTGTGTTCTGAGACCTAGCTCTTGATATCCTTTTCTACATATAATACAAATTGTTGTTGTTGTTGTTGTTACAACAAAGATCAAAATATATTCCAGGGCAAATCACCTCTGAAACACATGAACTACTTTGAGTAAAGAAGTCTGACTGGATGCATCTTGCTTTCAAGCTAAAACCCTATTCCTTCTCTACTTACCTCTTTATTTAGAAATTCTACTGTATTTAACTTCTACTGGTGCTCTTTTGAATTTTAAAACATAATATACTTTGTATCATTTTTAAGAATTTTGTGAAGAATCCCATGTTGTTATAAAGGTTAAATACAATTTTTTTGACAACTTTTGTGGAAAAGATACTCTCTATTGAATTTTAAATCTGGGAGAGATTTTTTTAAAATTCAGGTCTCATATTTGATGAGAAAACTGACTTCATAAATCCAGGTCACTAATTACTGATATTGGGCAGGTCCTTGAACTTTATGTGTATAATAATTTTAATCTCAATCATTTTTAAGCTCCTTTCCAGGAGTAAAATTGTATTTTATATTTAATTTTTTTCCTGGGGAAAGCAAAAGAGGAGAATTATGTCTTCATTGATGTTACTCTTTGAGCACTCCATCAAAGACAAAATTTTTCTAAATAGTGTTTTTCTTTAACTTGATAATAGTTTAGAGCTTAATTTCCTTTCCCATTTATAGTTGTGGCCATTTATAGTTGTGGAAATATTTTCCTTTCAGAAATAGTTTTCTTGTGATTAGGCTACTTTTCTTATTTTTGCTTCCTAGGATGAAGTATTGGAGGGGAGGGCTAAGTATGGGAGAAGAGAGTAAAAAAAAAAAAACCTGATTTTTTAGGAATTGGTATCTATCTTGAATGCTTGATAAAAATTTTAGTTGGAACAATGTTTATGTGTGCCTTGTCAGATGTTGTACAAGTTTTTTGAGCACTTTGAGATTTTTGTGTGTGGGGAAGGTATTTTGTAAAAGTGATAGTTGTTATTTATATTATTTATTCTTGGTAAGTAGCACAGAATAATCTCAAGACATTCTAAAGAAAGTATCTGTTTGCATGATGTGTCTAAAATATTTCTCAAAAATGGAATCTTAACATGCAGGTATGGCAAAGTAAAATGTAAAATTTATTATTCATTTAAACTACTTTAAGTTGCTTTTGTTTCAGATAAGACAGAAAAATGTAACATCTTTTGAGTTCAGCCCCTTTTTGCATTTACATATATAAAAGATCTTAAAAAGGTAGTTTAAGTTAAAGAGAAAATTCTTGTCATTTTTCCTTGGATGTAACTATCTTACATGTTTACATAAGAGATAAATAATAAACTGGAGGTAAGAATACAAAATGTTTGTCTTTTGCCTGTATTTGTGAATTTTTTTCCTTCTTTCTTTCTTCTTTCTTTTTTTGGAGACAGGGTCTCGCTATGTAGTACAGGCTGACCTTGAACTCACTGTGTAGCTCAGGCTGGCCTCTAACTTGCAGCAATCCTCCTTCCTCAGCCCCCTGAGTGCTGGGATTACAGCTGTGTGCCTCTACACCTGGCTGTTTATGTGAATTTTTATTTTTTATTTTATTTTTTTGTGTGTGTGTATGTGGTGCTGGGGATCTAACCCAGGGCCTTATGCATGCAAGGCAAAAACTGTACCACTGAGCCACATCCCCAGCCCCTGTATTTGTGAATTTTAAAGGACACAATTTTTCCTGGCTATTTATTAATTTCAGGAATACTTTCTGAGTTTGTACCAGAAATTAGGTAGACATAAATCCCTGTCTTCATGAAATTTACATTCTAATGGAGGGAGACAAACAGGACACAAATAAGTAAAATTAAGTTATGTCAGATTTGGAAAAAGATTTAGAGACAGTGCAGGGATAGTGCCACAGGAGAGTGAGATTGTAACTTTAAATGTGATCAGTTCACCTTTGAAAAGTATATTACTGTCTTTTGGAATAAAAATATATACCTAATGAGATATAAATACAACTACACACAAATACAATTAGTTGGAAAACATGTATATATAAAATCACCCATCATTTACCACCTGAAAATACAGAAATGAATCACTGATGGTTGAAATATTTTCTTTTAGATTGGCATATATTTCAAAGAGAGAAAAGAAAATGGCTATTGCAGGGGGAAAAAGTCTAATCGGGCAGTTAAATCCTTTTTCAAAAACAGTAACTTTTCCTTATATCATAAAGCTCATGTTACTTGTCCGTATTTTAATTTATATTTGATTTACTTCTATAGATATTTTCATTGTGCATATGGTTTCACATTGAATTTATGTCATGACTATTCCACCTAAGTTTCTCATCAGCAGCTGTATATAGTATCTGCCTTTTAGAATTATTTCAGTAAGTGAGATATAAGTAAAACTAAAATACTTTTAAAACACCTAATATAGGCCTTGCACATGGCAGATCGTAAATGTTAATTATCTAATTCCTATTCTTTTTCTTCATTTGTAAAAACTCATTTCTAATTTACATTTTGCTTTGAAAAATTCTTCAAGAAAGTTGGCGCTACAACGCTAAATTTTTGCGATTAAATTTTGATTCTTAGCTTTGGGGAAACTTAGCGCTTTCAATAAAGAGATTAGGTAGGTGGAAGTGTCTGCCAAATACACGCTTTCATTTCGGGGTGTTTCGAGTTTTTGTAATCGGGAGGTTACTCTGTATCTATGTGGAAGGACTGAGGGATCTGGCCAACATCTGTGTAGAAGAGAGTGAAGTAAGAGTAACATAGACCCATCAGATTCTGCGCAACGGACAATATGCTTTTCATGGTGGCATTCTGACACTGGCTCAAACCAGCGTCTAGCAAGCCGGTTCAAGACGCAGATCAAAGTGCAGGGAGTTTCCCATCAATCCCTTCGACATGCCTAGCCTTCCTCACAACATCTCCCACAGTACTCCGGGACTCCTTCGTCACATGACAGGGGAGGATTCGCTCGAGCATTTTAGGTGGCGAGGGTAACTACGCTTCTTTTCCACTCCCCAACTCCCGGGAACACGTAATCTCGCGTGAAGTGGGCATTATCTTCTCGCGGGAACTAAATCGGGATCCTCCAGGTCCGCCTCCGTGGTGAAGAGGAGGAGGAGAAGCAGGAGGAGGGGGAGGGAGGAGGAGGAGGAGGCCCCGTCGCGGCCTTTGCCGCCGCCAACGGGGCTGTCCCTGTAGCTCCCGATGGAGTTTGAGGCCGTGAAACCGCCGCCGAGCTCTGCCGCGGCGAGACGAGGCGCCTCCATCGCCGAGCCGCGCCGTCGCGGGGCTCCCGGGAGCGGCCCTTAGCGACCCCGCCCGGGCCCCCTCAGGTAGGGCGGGGGCGGGCACGATGCGGCTCGGGCCCCAACCCGGTGCCCGGTCCCCAGCGGTCGGGCGGGAGCCGCGTCTCAGCTCGGGGGGCCCTGTGCGCTGTCGCCGCCGGTGTCCTGAGGGTTGGGGGCCGAGGGCCGCACCTGACACTCGGGCCGAAGCCGGGGCCTGAAGAGGCCCCCCTCTCCGGTAGGGCTTCTTCGATGCGGAGCGACCAGCTCAAATGGCCACCTTTCGGCCCTGGCCCGGGGGACGCCTCCGGCCCTCGGGAAACCCACCCAGGCGAAGGCCAGCCTTCCGTCTCCCTTTCCTCCTGGTCGCGGAGAGCGGCTTTGGAAGACGTTCTGGAATCGGGTCCTCTCGCAGCGTCCTCTCTCGCTGCTTGGGGCTTCCCGAGACTAACTCAGGGTCGGAGGCGATCTGAGTGGTGTAAACAGGGACCCTGGCCGAACAATGCCCCGGGAGGGCTTCACCTCCCGGGAGGGAGAGGGGCCGGACCGGCGTGTAACACCGGGCGTGTGACTGGGAGCTATGGCGAGAAACACCGCCGGGGAATTCTGCTGTGCCTCTCTTCTTCCCTGCTTTCTTTTTGTTTTTACCCCCCTTGGGGAAGCCTCTTGAGGAGACTCTTCCACCATCTTAGAAGAATGGTAGGAAGCATCTTTGTTTCTCAGAGAAGCAGCTCTACTTTTCTCTGTACTAGGTTTCAGGAAGGGAGATGAGGGTAGCTGTCATTTCCATCCATCAGATCAGCAGAGTTTTTAAAATACCGGCAGACAGAACCTTCCCACCAAAATAGTCTCAAGTGATCATTGATCTAAAGATCTCATGCAGGGATTCTCAACCTGGTTTGTGTTTTCATAAAGCCCACCTGGGTTCTCATTTTAATTCCTACCGTCCCCTTACGTAGGTCCCTTCTTTGCAATTTTTACTCCCTCCCCACCCACTGTGATTAGAATGACTTTGTATCGTGAGATAAAGGAACCTTATTCCCATTTTTTGTGTTAGTAACACTTTTAAATTCCAATAGGAACTTTTGATTAACTTGAGAAAGCTAATGTTGCTACACTACAGTGACATAATTTCACCAAAAGCAAAGAACAAATGTTTTAGTCAGTGCAACCATTTTATGGTTAAATATGTACAGACTTAGTAAAGGCTTTTCAAATCATTAAGAATAGTTCATAAATACTCTTCTTAAAACCTTTTACCTGTTTAAAAACGAAACCACTGTTCTAACCTCACATCCCTAACTCTAGTTGTTTACTTCCACATTCCAGTTCTTTTTTTTTTTTTTTTTTTTTTTTTTTTTTTTGAGACAGGGTCTCGCTATGAGGTTCAGTCTGGCCTTGAGCTCACTTTGTAGCCCAGACTGGTCTCGAACTTGCAACGATCCTTCTGCCTCAGCCTCCGGAGTGCTGGGATGACCACATTCCAATTCTTGAAGAGATAGAGGCCATCTTATCCTGTTAAAGACTTTTCTTTCAATATTGTCATTTTTGTTTTCAATATTCATGTTTTCCAAACTGTAGAGTTTGGAAAATTGCTAGGACAAAATATTAAACATATAGTCCTGTCATGTTCAGAAAAAGCAGATGATATAATTCAAACAGGCTTTTTTATTCTTTGAGGATCTCATTGCAGATGTGTTCATTACTGTATGCTTTGAATTACTCCTGATCTAGTTGTTGTGGACTGTGTTAACCTGACATGTAAGAAGACTTGATGTTCTTTGTTCATGTATTTTTATTAATTCATTTTCTGCTTTTGTAATATGCTGTCTTCCAGTTGGAAAAGCATTTTTCTTTACACTCAGGATTTTGTATTAAACAACAGAACTTCTGAATTGTATATGATAGCTAAGAATACTAAATAAACTTATAGCAACATCATAATAAGTGCTTAATTATCACATTGGTTGGATTGGTGATTGAAATTTCACTTCCTGGTGATGGAGAAAGGAAGCATGTGGGATAAAGCTGCTGAAAATTAAAAAAAAAAAAAAGCTATTGAGAATTAATAACAAATTTATGTTTTACACCCAGACTCATGAAGGTTGTAAGCTACACCTTTATGATCAGTTCTGTCATTTTATGAAAGCCCTCTTAGGTGTGACTTTTACCTCAGCATTCTTAATAAAAGTTAGTTTTGAGTGTTACTTTATAATCTTTTTTGTTTGTTTGTTTTTGTTTTTGTTTTTTGGTTTTTTTTTTCTGTACCAGGAATCGAACTCACAACCTTGCACTTGCCAGGCAGGCGCTGTGCCACTAAGCTAAATCCCCAGCCCCTTTATAATCTTTAATAATCTGGAGTTCTACTGTTCAGTACTAGTCAATAGCCACGTGTGGCCATTGAGGACTTCACATTTAACTAATGTGACTGTAGATGTCTTTTTAAGTATGAAATACACACCAGATTTCAAATACTTAACATAAAATTCCCTTTAATATTTCAAAATAGTTTTTATATTTACTACATGTTGAGAAGATTTTGGATAACTTGAATGAAATAAAATATATTACTAAAATTGTTTTCTTTTTCATTTTTCGGACATGACTGCCAGAAAATTTTTAATTACCCTTTTTGTAAATTTTTTGTGCTGTGGATTGAACCCCAGGGTCTTGAGCATGCAAAATGTGCACCTTATCACTGAGTTACATTTTCAACCCCTGGCATTATGTTTTTATTGCCTATTGCTGTGCTAGAGCAGCACTATTCCAAGAAATAAATTGACTGAATGAAAGTACACATATGGGCAAAGTAAGAGCACTTACTAAGTAGAGCACTTACTTAGCATCTGTGAGGCTCTGGGTTTGAACCTTCAGCACTATGATAAGTAACAAAACTAAAAATTTCCTGACACAGTATCCTCTTATAATCAAAATAAGCAAAGGGAATAAACAAGAAAAGTTGTTTTAATATCTGATGACCATTATATGATAGGCAGAGTTGGGTGTGGTGACACACACCTGTAATCCCAGCACTTGGGAGGCTGAGGCAGGAGGATCGCTGTGACTTCAAGACCCGCCTGGGCTACATACATAGTGAGTTGAAGGTCAGCCTGAACTATATGGAGAGACCCTGCCTCAAAAAAACAAATAAATAAAATATATGATAGGCAGAAATAAATAAATTTTGTCTCAAAAATTAAGTATTGAAGGCAAATCATCCCTAAAGAATCAAAACATTGTTATATTAAAATAGAAAAATCTGATTTCACTATTAAAGTGCATTGAAAGTTGTAAGTATTTTAAAAATTGAGTTTAACCTATAAGTGGTTGAAGATATAAAACTTGAGTCTCATATACTGTATTTCTTTTTTTTTTTTTCTGGTACCGGGAATCAAACTCACGACCTCGCACTTGCCAGGCAGGCGCTGTGCCACTGAGCTAAATCCCCAGCCCCCATGTATTGTATTTCTTAAGTTAAAGTCACATAAAAAAATTGTAATTCAGATTCTTTTTTTTGCCGGTCCTTTTGAGGTTTGGATACTGAGTTTTAGAGTTTACAAATCATTTTCTTTGGAAATTACTTTGTTCACTTGTTTTTTTAAAGGCCTAAATTGTACTCAGTCCAAAGCTAATTAGTATTGTTGAGTTTTCTGAATTGAGAAGTACTGTTACAGTTCATTTCAGCAGTGTATAGTCATCACATGGGTAATTAGAATGAAAACTGATTGTTTTAATAAATAGACCTGAGCACTAATGTTTATTTCTTATAAAAAAATTGTAAACTACTTTGTGTATACACACACACAACAGTGAAAAATACATAAACTTCTTATCCTGAATTTACTGCATAACATGGTGGACTAATAACAGAAAATGAAAGTGTTTAGCTGGTTTGCAGTTTACTCTTAATAAAGCAGTTTGTCATTTGTATCATATGAGAGATGGCTATTATTCTTGCTGTTTTATGAGTTACCACTCATAGCAAGGAACTTATAGTTTAGAAAATTACCTGAGTGAAGATCTGTTTAAAGTTCCATCTGTAATTCAGCATTTCTTTTTTTGTTTGTTTTTTGTTTTTGATTTTTTTGAGACAAAGTTTTGCTATGCAGTTCAGACTGGCCTTGAACTCACTATGTAGCCCAGACTGGTCTTGATAATGTAGTGTTTCTTACTCCTATATTTTATCTTGTTCTTCAGCTTTAGAAATTTGTAACTAAAGTTAATTAAAACAAAAAGTGGAAAGTTTTTCTTAATCTCTGTAAATACTGAGAGTTATGGACCTTTGATTTCATTTTATCTCAACTTGAAATGTTTTGGGAGTGTATTTAGGATGACTACTTATGTCAGTGTTAACTAGAAATGAAATAGCAATTTAGACTTTCATGAGTCATGTAAGTCAAAATGCTTAAGACTAGAAGTTTTACAAATACATTCTTAGCTCTTTATGGTTCACATATATATCTTCTCAAAATAAATTATAAAGATAATGGGATATCTATCATTTTTGGTAGTTTTTAAAATATTTTCTAAAATGGGTAGGGTGGCACAAGCCTGTAACCTCAGGTACTTTGCAGACTGAGGAAGGAGGATTGCAAGTTTCAGGCAATCTTGGACAACATAGTGAAACCCGGTCTCAAAACATTTTTTTCTAGGTAAGTTTATAAGGCACTACTTTTTTTTTTAAATGAAAGTCCAATTTTGTCATCACTAAACATTTTAATAAACTACAAAAAATTTTCTGTTTTGTGTAAAATTTTATGTCCTAAGGAATCTAGAATTTATTGATAACAATACTGAAGAAAGACTGGGCCGGGGATATAGCTCAGTGGCATAAGTGCCTGCCTGGCAAGTGCAAGGTCCTGAGTTTGATTCCCGGTACCCCCTCAAAAAGAACTTTATAAAAAAGAGAACATTATGTCTCATTGTATAAGGAAAGTGTATAATTTTGGTGTTAGCAAGCTACATACAGCAGTGAAAATAATTTTACCAAGTTATTGCCCAATTTTTGTTAAAGAGTTTTTTTTGTAGAATGTTAACTCAACCTCTGGTAGAAGCTGAACTTCTCAGCATGATACTAAAAAGCTTGGGTGGTCTTATTTCTAAAATCATATACATAGAAGTCTTATTATAACATAATGTGAGGTAGATTCTGAAATACTATAATTTGAAACACTGGATGATCTTGAAAAGTAAGGGAAGAATATTTGCTCTTTGTGTATTTCCTGTTACCCAGTGACCTGTGATACCCTGGCCCACAAAATTAACATTTCCTAGCAAATAAGCATTCTGAAAAAATTATATTGACCCAGTTGTCTAATTTAGGATACTCAGTAGTAGATCTAAGATAAAATTCAGTCACGCTTACATTCACAAATTTTTTTTGTATAATTCTACAACCAAAAAACTACATTATTGTAGATAATGATATGTAAAACAATAACCATTGATAATTTCCTACCACTTTGTCTGTAATTTGGTAAGCTCCCCCCTATTATGTTACCCTTCTTTTACTCTTTAAAATAAAACAAAAAACTACATTAAATATGTTAAACATTTTTAGGGAATGATTTGTTCACCTGCATAGTGTTCATCTCTAAAGTGGAAGCAAACCAACTGGTTTTTTTATTGATGGCTTTGGTCAGTGTGGCAATGTGAGAGTGAACGGTGTGAAAACAAAGTACATCTTGCCAGATATGTATAGTTTAAAGGTAGTAGAAACTTTGCATTAGAGTTGTCAAAGAAAAAGTTTGCATGGGGTGCTTTTTATATTCCAAACCTTTTTATATTTATCAGGTTTTTTTAAAATTTTGGTTTTTGTGAACATAAAAGCACAATGAAGGCTATAACAGTATTTTTTAGGGGGCTAGGATACCAGTGAATGCTTCATTATATATTTTCCTCTCTTGACTTTGACTATATTTTAGGACATTTAACTTCTGAGTAGCTAGTATATTTGCTTTGGTAACCATTCCTAGGAAATAAAGTATTGGCTGTTTAATTGCCCTAAATACCTAGATTTTTTGTCCACTAGAGAGCTTTGTCAGACTTACATAAGTTTTTAATTGGAAGATACAGAAAATTTGTGAAATGTAAAGAGTTCAAGTTAGAGAGGATAGTAAATATACTAAATCTTCTCTTTTACTGAAAGTTATGAAACCAAAATTTTAATCTTAGAAATAAGAAAATTCAGTTATTTTCAGTGCCTTTTCTCAGTGTTAAGCATATGCATGCATATTTTTCCACAAATGTTAATCATAGCAGGGATAGAAATTTATACTTCCCTTCTTTTCTGCTTAGAAGTATTAGATGAAAATGTCTTATTTTTCTATATATTCCCTATTGGACTTGACAGATTTTGTTTATATCTATCAGTTACTACATGATACAGTTTTGCGAAAAGTATTATAATAAACTATAAAACTTTTTAGACAGTATTTTCTTTTACTTTGGTACTATACTTTGCTGTTAGCATTTTTCTTTCATTTATAGACAAACAACTCTGTCATCACAGTCTTTTCTTAGGTGTTGATTATTTTCAATACCTTAATTAGCTTCCAAGTCAGATCCTGACTAGGATTTCCTTTCTCAGGTGGCAAGGCTGTCTTTTTCACACATGACTATTGATTTGATCAATAGTTTTCCAAGCTCACTAACTCTTAAACCATATCTTAATATATTTTGGGGTATTGTTTGTTCAAGAGAAACATTAAAAGCAACGATAAAAACAAAACAAAACCCTAGTCATCCAAAGTAATTTGTGTTCCTAAAAATGGAATGTGGAAACTTAATCTGCTTATTTTTATGGTCATTAAGAAAAAAATAGATAAAAGCTCTGATGAGCAACCAATATAAATATAAATATAAAGTACTTGAAAAGAACACTGTTAATGTATTATTTCTGGGCAAATTCTCAGAAATTAATTCAGCAAATAGGCTTTTTAAAAAGACACCTGAGGCATATAAAACTGTTCAGAAGTGTTTCAGATTCTGAAGTTGTGATGGTTCACTATAGCAGTTAATTCTTGAAAGGTGATTGATGCATATGTAATTAATTCTTACTTTTGTACATTTCCAGCTTACAAAACACTACACAGCAAAATAATGATCTGCTAGACTGCTAACCCGAGCATCCAGCTTCCACAATGCCTGTGCAGGCAGCTCAGTGGACAGAATTTCTGTCCTGTCCAATCTGCTATAATGAATTTGATGAGAATGTGCACAAACCCATCAGTTTAGGTTGTTCACACACTGTTTGCAAGACCTGCTTAAATAAACTTCACCGCAAAGCTTGTCCTTTTGACCAGACTGCCATCAACACGGACATTGATGTGCTTCCTGTCAACTTTGCACTTCTCCAGTTAGTTGGAGCCCAGGTAAACTTTCAATATTTTACTAATTTACTATCAATAATAATTATCAAATTTTGTTTATGAGGGATACAAAATATGTTTGGTTTTATAATTTTTTTTTGTTCCGTAAGCGAACGCATGACCTTGTGCTTACCAGGCAGGCGCTGTACCACTGAGCTATATCCCTGGCCCTGTTTGGTAGTAATAGAAACATAAAAAGTAAACATTATTGTGCTTGCATGGCATGTGTAAGGACCTGGATTCTCTCCCTAGAATTGTGATAGAGAGAGAGAGAGAGAGAGAGAGTGATATATCTGCCTTTTACAATTACATTTTTAAAAACATTTTCTTTAGATAAGGTTTAGATAAATTCTTACATAAACTTTCATTATAGTTACATATTTCTTTTTCTCCTCAATGCTGTGGTTAAAATTTATGTATATAATTAGTTTTGGTGGATGAAAACCTTTTTTTTTTTTTCCTTTTGTTTTTGGGAGGCACTTTCATATATACATATGTAAATATTCTTTAAATGATATTATAAGAAATATAATAAAAGCTTTTGCCATAAATCAGTCAGTTAAATCTCTCACATGGAGATGTTTTTAATTTCTTTTCAGCTCCACTTCATGAAGGATAATTATTACGGCTTGTGTCTAGCTGTCCCCTCAAAGCCTCATGTAGTTATAGGTGGGGCTTTTTTCAGAGATGGCTAAATCTAGAGTGTGTAAATGATTCATGGTGCAATGCTAGGATTAAGGGTGATTACTAAATCAGTCCACTGATTGCTTTGGCACTGCCCTAATCCCAGTAGCCTGGGTACAATATAAAGGACAGAAAGAAGCTTGCTTGCTTTGCTACCTTCTGCCAACCATGAGCTGTTTCTCCTCTGCAAGGACCGTCTGCAATGCCCCTCTGCCTTGGAGCCAGCCAATTATGGACTGAAACCACTACAGACTGTGAGCTAAATAAACCTTTCCCCCTTTAACTTTGGGTGTCAGGTGTTTTGTGTCTGCAGTGAGAAAAGACAATAATATTATAAATGAGAAAATAAATTCTACTTAGAGATCTAAAACCAACTATCAGAGTATCACTATTAAATGCTGCAGTTTCTTGTGCTGTGCAATGAATATTTCATGTTATCATTTTTTTTTTACTTAATCAGCAAGACCCTAGATTTATAATAATTTTCCTTTAATCTGGGTCTACTCCGTGTTACATATGGTAGTAAATTTCAGCATCTGTTATCCCAATTTTACAGAGGAGGAAGAAGGTGAAATTTTATATATCATACACACACATTAAAACAAAAAAATCAGGATTTTTCTGATATATTAGAAAATTTATTTAACAGTTTCGACTTAATTAGAAAAATTCAAAGAAATACTCCATTTCTTCCCTTAGTATCTTGATTTTTGAGGTTTTCTTTTTAAAATAAAATCTATTTTCAGTATTTATAATTAGAGATTCTGAAATCAAGATGCATCTATAATCAATAGTGCCATAATTTAATTGGCAGCATATTTTTCTTAATGGAGCAATTACCTCTTAGAAACAGTAATGCTTATTTCCAACAAAATACAGGAATATTTTGCAGTAATACTAGCTAACATTTATTTAGGGTTTGTAGTAGGTTAGGTATTGTGTTACTGTTTGAATGAATAAATGTTATCCTGGTCCTTAACATAGCCTACAAGTCTATCTCATGTGACTTCTGTCTCTTCCATCTTTACTGCTATTCTCCCTACTACTGTCTCTGCTTACATTGGCCTCCTAGCTAATTCTTAATGTGCCAATCATATTGCCCCCTAGGACTTTTGGAGTGAATGTTATCTTTGCCTAGAACAGTAGTGGTGAAGCTATGGCACCTTTGTGCAGCCAGCTGTTTGTTATCTATTGTTGAAAGCTCTAAAAGTTCTGCCATCATTGGCCTAGAATGTTCCTTCTTTTTCCTCTTTAAGTCTTTACTCAAATGTTGCAGTTCTCAAGGAAGTCTATCCAACCCTAACTCTAACCATAATCCCTCCATTAAAATTGTAATCCTCTCTCACATTTCTACTTCCCCTAGTCTCACTGTATAATTTTTACTGATCTCCTTCTAACACACTGTATATTTGTTTATGCTTTTTATTTATTGGCTATTTCTTTATTAAAATGTAAACCCCGTAGGGCAAGGTAATTCTGTTTTGCTCACTGATAGGTCCCTGGTGCCTAGATTTTCCTGCCGCATGATAAGCACTTCAGAATTACAAATATGTATTGAATTAAACTGAACTTTCATAATGACAGTGTGAAATATGGATATTCACCTTCATTTACTGATAGTGAAATTATGATGTGTGATAGTCAGATTTTTTTTTTTATCTTTATTTATTTATTTTTTTATTTTAAGGATAAAAGGAGGGAAACATTAACAGACATACAACATTTTACAACATATCACAAGCACAATACAGACAATACAGAGTTACAAACAAAGTGGTAGGGAATTAACAATGGTGGTTGCATTACATATTGATATCTTCAAAGTGGCTTCTCAGATAGTCAGATGTTTTTCTCAAGAACACTAATAGAAGTCTCAAAGCTGCAATATTTACCCTGGCTTTTTGTTTCTTGTGTGTGTGTGTGTGTGTGTGTGTGTGTGTGTGTGTGTATGCACGCGAGCTCACATGCGTGTATGTGTGTGCGTGTTGCTGGGCATCAAACCTAGGGTCATGAACATATTAGGTAGGCGCTCTACCACTGAATTACATATCCAGCTCCCCAAGTTTTGACTTTTGAGTGGGAATGCTATCTTGTGATATTTATATTTATCAAGGAAGTAATAGTCACAAGTTAAAAACATAGTAGATAAAGTATCAAGGAGGTACTAAATACTGTGAGGGAAAGCAGTTCATTGAGATGCTTGGCTTTGATGTATTATCTCTATTCTAATTTTAAACTCACCGAGATTGTTATGAAGTGTAATAATAACAGTTCATGAGTTGGATGAATGTAATTTTGCAATTTTTCTTTTTTTAGGTACCAGATCATCAGTCAATAAAATTAAGTAGTCTAGGTGAGAATAAACACTATGAGGTTGCAAAGAAATGTGTTGAGGATTTGGCACTCTACTTAAAACCACTAAGTGGAGGTAAAGGTATGTTCACAAACATTTTTATTGGTGAGTAGGCCTTGGTAAGTGTAAGTGTGGAGCATTTACAATGGTTATCATCACTCATTTCATGGATCCCAGTCTTTAGGGGAAGATAGATGTACAAGTGCAGTAAATTATTTTAATTGCTGTAACAAAAGTGGAATTTTATTTTACCACTTTGTACCTACTGACTCACACATTATAGGTATACTAGATAGTTACTGAACAAATCACTCATTTTATTTTGTACCTGATAAAGAGTGTGCACTAAGCACTATTTTGGTGCAAGGGATACTTTAGCTAAACAAAGAGAAAAATGTGTCTGCCCTCATGCATTTCTATTTTAGAAAAAAGAAAAACTATAATAATTAATATAATTTTTAAAAGCAGATTATTTAGTAAACCCATAGTTGATATAAAAAGAATACCACTAGAGGGATGAGAAGTATCATGGTAAGGGGAGAAGAGTGGATTGCTGGTTTTTTTTTTTTTTGGTTTTTGGTTTTTGATTTTTTTTTTTTTCCAGTACCAGGAATTGAACTCACGACCTTGCGCTTGCCAGGCAGGCACTGTGCCTCAGAGCTAAATCCCCATCCCTGGATTGCTGTTTTTAAAGAGTGTTTGGGTTAGGCCTAATTAAAAATGTGACTTTTGAATCTGAAATGAGGTGAAAGAGGTAAAATAGTTCACCACATAGGTTCTGAGGATGAAGTTTCAGACAGGAAATAGCCAGTGTAGCATCCCAAGCATGCCTAGTGTCTTAAAGGAAAAGAAAGAGGAGAGTGCCTGAAGAGTGTGAGGAGAGCAGTATAAGAGTAGACAAAATGGGGAGGCCAAGTAATAAATAGACTTTCAGGCCATTTAAAGACTTGAACTGTTGTTCTGTGTAATATTGGGGAGTCATTGCTGAGTTTCGAATAGAGTAGTGACATGATCATACTAATGTTAAAGGAATCATTTTGGTTGCTCTGTTGAGAATTCTGCATAGAAAGATAAGCATAGAAGTGTGATAATCAGATAAGAGGCTGTTAGTATAAGGCAGTAGCATTGAGCTGATAAGTAGTCAGTTTAGATAAATAGATTGAGGTAAATTTTGGTTATAGTAAGTTGGAGATTTCTAATACTCACTTGGATGCTACTGAGCAGACAGTGGATATGAGTTTTGTGTCATTGGATGAGGTCTGTGAGCTGTGACTTTGTAAGTCATTGTCATATTGATGGTCTTTAAAGTAATGAGACTGGATTTCACCTGACCAGTGAGTTTAAATAAGAAATATAGTATAAGTCCCTTTCACATTAAGAGAGCAGATGAAATCAGCAGAGAAGACTAGAAGAAATGAAGGAAGAAATTCAAGAAAATGAAATGTTTTTGAACCCAAATAAACTGTTTAAAGGAGTGAAGAGTATCATCTGTGTTGATTGCTATTGAAAGGTCAAATAAGCTAAAGAGAATTAACTGTGGCTTTAGCAAATTAGAGGTATTCGTCCTGATAAGACCAATTTCAGTCAAGAGATGGTAGCAAAAACTTCATTGGAGTAGAAATTAGAGATCATGAAATAAGTCAGAAATAGTATAAATAAAAAACTGGAGTAATCACTAAAAAGGGAGGAAAGAAATGAGATGCTGCTGGTTCAGAAAAAAGAATCAATGAAAACGTATTTAAATATTTTTAAGATGGATGAAATAACATACTTAATGTATGCTAATGTAAGCAGTCAGGTAGAGTGGTCGTATTCAACTGAGAGAATTGCTGGAATAGGTTCAGATGAGTAAGGTGTGAGATTTCACCATGAAGCAGCACAATTAAAAAATAAGTTACTAATCATTATTTTTAGATTAAAATTTTTAATCAGTCATCTGACTTTTCCTTCAGTTTCCTTAGTAAAGATAGAAAACAGACTAAATAAATCCAAAGTCATGTATTTGGACACAGGCAGCTCAGTAAACCAAGATATCTAAATAAAATGTGTTTTAAAGAGAATAGTAAAAAAAAGAATAGTAGCAAACTACCAACATTACAGACATAAAAAGTGAGAACATTAAAAATGATGCAGTAAAATCTGAAGTCCCCAAAATTAAGCTCCTTACTATACAGAATGTTAATAAACAGAGACAAAATAGTCATTGTTAGTGACTTAATGTTAAATAGAGGTAATGACAGTTGTCTTTTTTTATTGAAAAATGTTTAATTCCTTTTGTTTTCCTTTTCTTAAAGGTGTAGCTAGTTTGAACCAGAGTGCACTGAGCCGTCCAATGCAAAGGAAATTGGTGACACTTGTAAACTGTCAACTAGTGGAGGAAGAAGGTCGAGTCAGAGCCATGCGAGCAGCCCGTTCACTTGGAGAAAGAACTGTAACAGAACTGATATTACAACACCAGAATCCTCAGCAGTTATCTGCCAATTTGTGGGCTGCTGTCAGGGCTCGAGGATGCCAGTTTCTAGGGCCAGGTAAAATAGAGCACCCTTTCAGCTTTGTTGTTGGTTATCAGGGCTTGAGATACCAATTTCTACAGCTAAGTAAAAATCCTGAGAATCATCTCATCCACATTTATACATACATATCTTGGCATAGTCAAAGATGAATCTTTTGTTAGTCATAATCTATATTATAGATAGTGCCTTGGTATTTTAGAACAAATTTCTCATTTAATTCTAAGCCATTGAAGATGAGTTACATAGCTTCAACTTTTAAAATTAGAAGTCTGAGCTAGAAAGATTTGTAAGACTGCACAGGTAGTAAATAGTTAAGAAAAGGTAAACCATTTTTTCTGTCTAGGGGGAAAAGTACTCTTGACTGTTTTTAGAACTTGGGAAGCATAAAAATTAATTGAAAAAACAATTACCAGAAAATGACTATTATGGTTAGTACTATCTGTGTTCTTTTTTAAAGACCTTTCTATTGGGCTGGAAATATGGCTCATTGGTACTTGCATGAGGCCCTGGCTTTGATCCTCAGCCTGAACTACATAGCGAGTGGAGGCCAGCCTGGACTACTTGTGAGACCTGTCTGAAAAAATAGCCAAGGCCAGGCGTGGTGGTGTTCACTTGTGATCCCTGCACTTGGCAGGGGGACACAGGAGGATTACTGCAAGTTCGAGACCAGCCTGTCCTATATAGTGAGTTCAAGGCCAGCCTGAACTACATAGTAAGACCCTGTCTCAAAAAAAAACCAACAGAACAGCCTAAAGATTTATCAACTAAAAGCAATGTATAGACTTTATTTGGATACTTACACCAACTATGAGAAGGCATTTTTGAGACAATAGGAAAGACAGAACATGGCCTGGATATTAGATTCTATTAAAGAAATATATGTATTACTTTTGTTAGGTGTGATAATGGTCTCATTAAATTTTTTTAAAAGCTTTACTGTTACATCTGAGGTATTGAAGGGTAAAAGACTGTGTTACATGGGACTTACTGCAAAATACATCAGCCAGAAGTCAAAAATCAAAACTAGCCAAAACAAACTAGAAAAGTAAAGCGTAGATGAAATCTTTCTGACAACTGTGTTAGGGATACATGGTATCTCTATTTTTGTGTATGTTTGAAATTTTTCGTACTACAAAGTTAAGTTTAAAATATTTTTGAGTTCAAATTTTAATATAAGAATGTTACCTTTGGGTATTTCTTCATGTTTATTTACCTTAAACTAAGAAGCATTAGATTGACTGTTCGATCTTTCTTATTCTCCAACTCAACAACAAAAAGACAACCCAGTGTAAAAGGGGTCAGAGTGATAAGAGTGTTTCCCTAGCACATGTGAACCTCTGGGTTCAGTTGTCAGTACTGGAAAAAAAAAATCTTCCAGAGACACAGATGCCAGTAAAGCACTCAAAGAGACTGAGCACCTCTACTTATTAGGGAAATATGCTATATATCAAAACTTCAGAGAGAGCTTGGGGATGTAGCTCTGTAGTAGAGTACTTGTGTATTATGCTTAAGGCCTGGGTTTGCTCTCTAGCACCTTTGAAAGAGACAAAGAGACAGTGAAACACAAGAAGAAAGAGAATCAGAAAGAAGCAAAAAGTTAGGAAATCATAAAAAATAGGAAAAGGAAAAGAAAGGCGTTCCTGTAATCCTAGTACTCTGGGAGACTGAGGAAGGAGGGTCACCAAGTTCAAACCCAGCCTGGACAACTTAGTGATTTAGTGAGACCCTGTTGCAACATGAAACAATAAAATTTAAAAGGGCTGGGAAGGTAGCTCATTGCACAAGCCCTAGGCTCAATCCTCAGAATTGCAAAAAGAAAAAAAGACACACCACTTCATACCTATCTGGCTGATTTTAAAAAGTGGAAAATAATAAGTGTGATGAAAATGTGAGCAGATAAATTGCTACACTACTATGGGAAAAACAATTTGGCAGTTCCTCTACAGTTAAATTTGACACAGCAGTTTCATTGGGGTATATGTCCAAAAGATGAATATTTATAGGCATTCTATTCACAAATGTTAAAAGGTGGAACAATCTAGTTGTCAGTGAACTGATAAATGGATAAATAAAATGAAATAAATGCATAAAAAGGGATGAACTATTGATATATGTTACATGTGGATGAACTTTTAAATTTTATATTAAGCGAAGGAAAGAGAGCATATGACAGTTAATTGCTTAAAGACTATGGGCTTTTCTTTGGGGTAATAAAAATGTCTTAGAGCCAGATAGAGTGGATAGCTGTACTACATTATGAATATACTAAATGCCACTGCAGTGTATACTTTTTTTTTTCTATTTGCAGCACCAGGGATGGAAACCAGGGTCTTGTGCCTACAGCATGCACCTCTACTACTGAGCTATACCCCCAACTTTGTACACTTTTAATTGGTTAACTTTATGTGAATTTTACATTATTTTTTTTAAATCCTTGATTCTAAGTCCGGTTTTGCGACCAGTTATATTACTGTGGCTTAGTCACTTAATTTCTCTGGGCCTTAATAGCCTCCCCTGGGAAAAGAGGGTTTGATTTTGAATCTAGATTTTAAGTCATCTCTTGCTTCTAAAGTTTCTTCCTGGGGCTGGGGATTTAGCTCAGTGGCACAGCACCTGCCTGGCAAGCGCAAGGTCGTGAGTTGGATTCCTGATACCGGGGTGAGAGGGGGTGGGGGGGGGTGGGACCACAGACAAACAAAAAAAAGTTTCTTCCTTTTGATTGATAACCATACTTTTCTTTGTCTTTTTGAGATAATGTCTTACTATGCAGTTCAGGTTGGCCTTGATCTCACCTTGTAGACCAGACTGGTCTCAGACTCACAACCCTCCTCCTGCCTTAGCCTCCTGAGTGCTGGGGTTATAGGCGTGTGCCACCACGCCTGGCAGCCATAAATTTTTAATTGTGAAGTAATTTCAGATTTACTGAAAATATGGTGCATGCCTGTTATCCCAGCACTTGGAAGGCCAGGGCAGGAGGATTGCCACAAGTTGGAGGCTAGCCTGAACTGTCCATAGCAAGACCTTGTCTCAAAAAAAACCAATAAACATATAAAAATTTTTAAAAATTTGCTGTAAAACTTAAAGAATAGTGGAAGTACTCTTTTTCCACATTCACCAGTTTTTAATGTTTTGCCTTATTCTTTTTTGAACCATTTGAGAGTACCCTTACATATTTTATGTGCCTTTACCCTCAGTACTTCAGTATTTCTTAAAACAAAGATACTCACTTAATGTAATAGTAGTACATGTATCAAATTCACAGAATTTGCCATTGAACAGTACTACAAACTGTAGCTTTAGACATTTGAACAAGTATGTCTTTTACGGCATTTTCTTCTAGTGTAAGATGCAGTTCACAGTCACTTACTGTATTTGTCGTCTCTTTTTAGTCATTATACTGAAACAATTTTCAACCTTTCTTTGTCTTCCATAACATTGATGTTTTCAAAGAATATAGACCATTTATTCTATTGACTGTTTCTTAATTTAGGTTTGTCTAATGTTCCATCATGAGTTGATTCAGATTATATTGTACAACTTTAGGTGTTTTAGGTATCACAGCTTTAGCTCTTGCATCCTGAGGTTCATTTCATTTTAAAATTATATATTAAATAAGGGCCGAGGTGTGGCTTAGTTGTAAAGTGTGTTCCTACTATGCATGGGGGCCCTGCATTTCATTCCCTACCCCTGAAAAGCAAATAAAAAATTTAAAAATTATACATAAAACAGTTTCTCACAAGCATAGTAACTATCTTTTCTTTTTTTTAATCTTTTTTTGGTTTTTGTTTTTTTTTTTCTTTGGTTTTTCTCCGGTACCGGGAACCGAACTCACGACCTTGGGCTTGCCAGGCAGGCGCTTTTGCCGCTGAGCTAAATCCCCAGCCCCTTTAATCTTTTTTTGAACCAGAGTCTCACTTTGTAGTTCAGGCTGGCCTGGGCTCACTATGTAGCCCAGGCTGGCCTTGAACTCACGGCTCTTTGTCCTTTGCTGCATGTTGTTGTGAGAGTAGTTCTATGTATATTATGAGTTATTATTTCACCCTAATATTATTATTTATTGTTTACCTACAGAAGATACTTCATATATTAACTTGTGTTGTTCTGCAGTTATTTAGGAAGAAATATGTTTTCTGCTAAGTAACGAGTTAGCTTGGTTGGTAAAAAATATGTTTTCTTCTGCTTTATTAGTTTTTAAATAACTGTTTCAGAAACTGTATTCTCTTTTTGTGCTAATTAAGTACAGATTGTGGGTAATGAACTCTCACAAACTAATACCTGGAGATACCTTTGACAGACATGATATGCAGGTTAATGAGCTCATGTTCCTTTAATATTTCCAGCTATGCAAGAAGAGGCTTTGAAGCTCGTGTTGTTGGCATTAGAAGATGGTTCTGCTCTCTCACGGAAAGTTCTGGTACTTTTTGTTGTGCAAAGGCTAGAACCAAGATTTCCTCAGGCATCAAAAACAAGTATTGGTCATGTTGTGCAACTACTGTATCGAGCTTCGTGCTTTAAGGTAAGCATCAGATGGCTATCTAAAGATTACATACCTATGTGTGAGGCACTGAACAGAACATAAGGAAATAGTTTGAAAAACTTTGGACTCTTATCAGAAAAAATTATAAAATTGGATAGTGAAAGTGGACTGAAGAAACCTTATTTATTTAGATAAATCTTTTTCTTAAAATAAACAATGCGCTAGGGGTATGTGCAGAGGCCCTGGGTTTACTCTCCAGTATCACCACACACACAAAGAAAAAGCAGGGGTGGGGAGAAGGTCCTCAGAAACTATATTGTACTTCATTAGATTTGGTAAACTTTGTCACTCATTATTTTTAACTCATTGTCTGTAGTTATTAAAGCCTTTAACCTAAAAGTGGTCTGTGTATTTTAGAGATGACGAAAAAGTGAAATTTTAAGGGATTGACCCACTCTGCATTTTGTGTAGGGTTTTTTTTTGTTTGTGTTGTTGTTATTGTTTGGGGAAGAATACAGTATCTTAAAGCAGTGTAATTGTCCAGTGGGCTGCTTAGTCTCTTTTGCTCATTTTAAAGCCCCAAAAGTAAAAATAATACAAACCAAAAGAAAAAAATTTCCTTGTCAGACTGCCCAGTTTTAGATAACAGGTAACTGATGATGGAAATATGTTCAGATGGATTCACTTAACTGTACTTAATGAGGCTTGGGTAGTATATGCCTGGTAGTCAGAGTGCTTGATTTCATATCCTTAGGGAGGCAACAATTGAAATGAATCTCTGATTCCTCAAACATTGCGTTTTGGGCTAAGCAGCCAAATTACACAGATCATTTGTCAGCCTAAAATGACGAGGTTTCCACATTGCATCACTGATGAAGTGGTTTTTTTTTTTTTTCCTTATAAGTTCGTACTAACTTGTGGTTTATGATTATCATACACCTATATCTGGTACTGATCTGACATTTGAATAACACTGATTTAGAAAGTTATTTCAGTGTTATGTTCTCATTTTATGCACACTACTGAATAGTTTAAAATGTTAAAGCACAATATTTGGATGAATAAAATAATATCATGCTGACTTAACTACTAAAGGGCCTCGCTTGGTGACATTTAGCAAACTCACCATTGTTCAAGGTTTACTCATTTTCACCAGTTTAGAAATGTGAATTTTGTGGGTATATAGTGTGGAGGTCACACTTGACTGTGTCAATTTGATTGACTTGGGAGCTACCAAGGAAACTGGTACAGCATACTTCTGGGTGTGTATGGTTGGATCATAGAAGTGTGACCTTGGATACTATATCTGGTCCCTTGCTCCTTCCTTTTTTGGCAGTGTTGCCCTCTCCTGCTCCAGCTAAGCATCTTTGGTCTACCACACCTTTCTGCTATGATGATTCTTTCTTTGAGGTTGTTGATCATGAACTGAATCCCCTGACACTGAGCTAAATTAAATCTCTCTTCCTTTAAATTTCAGGTGTCAGGTATTGTGTCCCAGCAACAGAAAGCTGACTAACCCATACCGTAGATTTTTTTGTTTCAGATCAAGATCACTCTAACCAAGATTACATAAAGGTTATCAGTTTTATTAATTTGTAATGAAATTACAGGTTTTACTAATTCATAATGAGAAATATGATTCCTATCCCTGGAACCAGAGATACTTGTTAGGCAAGTGCTCTGTTCCTGAGCTACACCCCTGTCCCCTGAGAAGTGCAATTCTTAAATGCTTTGGATTATCACAGATATTGTTCTGTAAAGCATATCAAACCTAAGTATGGAAGCAGAACAAGGGAAAGTAGTGATTCATATGTTCAGTGCAGTAGTTCTCAACTGAAGATACATATCAGAATCATCTATGGAGCTTTTAAAAATGCACAGTCCTGATACTGTAGAGATTCTGACTGAGCTCATCTGAAGTGGGACTTGAATGTTTATATATACTTTATGGTTACCTTTGGAGATTCTGATGCACTGGGCCTAAGTTTGTATCTTTTCAAAGCTTCACTGACAGTTTTGATGCATATGCGTTCATTAATACATCTAGGCTTTGTTGTTATCCATCTATGTCCTTCACTGCTTCAGTAGTTATGCTGCTGGGGGGTTACTCTGTGCCGTATTGGGTGCTGAGTGCTACTACATACCTAAGTGGGTTTGTTTTTTCTACTATTTATTTATTTACTTATTTATTTTGGTTTTTTTCCAGTACTGGGAATCAAACTCACAACCTTGTGCTTGTCAGGCAGGCGCATTGCTGCTGAGCTAAATCCCCAACCCCTTTTTCTACTATTTAGATTAATATTTATTTTTTGTTTTTTGTGTCCTTTTAAGTAGGTTATGGTAAAATATAGATGATTACTCATACTCTGCTCTCCCTGTCCTTTTTTCCCAATACTAGGGATTGAACCTAGTGTGTTCATACTGAGCTTTTATCCTCAACCTTTTTACATTTTAAGATATGCCTTGTTAAGTCATCATGTTGCCCAGACTGGGTTCTAACTTGCGATACTCCTGCCTCAGCCTCCCGGACTGCTGAAATTGTAGGCATGCACTATGACACCTAGCTTCTATTCTTTCTTAAATACCTATGATTTTATTGATCAAATTTTTGAGTGTCCCAAACTTCTCTAATGTATTTATGAATTCTCAAGGTGAATTGTGTACTATAATTCTCAAATGGTTACTTTGTTCTCGGAGGCATAGTACTGTTGTCTGATATGCCAGCAACAACAACAAAAACAAGCAGTGAAGTAGTCTGTTGTTATTTTCCTTTACCAGTGAGGAAAACTAAGTTTTGAATAGTTCACTTGATTTGTATAGTCTAAATTTCAGAATCTGGACTAGTCTTATGTGTTCTAAATCATAACAAAATTTTGGTGATTGCTAGTCATTACCAAATTTTAGTGGTTCAGGAAATAATGTGTATCATTTATTTGTGGAAATTACACATCCATATACTTGCATATTTGGATTATTTAATAACTTCACTAGTTCAGTTTATATGACTGTGGAATAACTTGTATAACTTTTGAATTTATACTTTTAAATCATTTAAGCCAAGTAGAGTTTAAAGTTGTTCAAATCCCTTAGTGATAATTTCTGTTGTGGCAGAAAATTCTTAATTATCATGTGGTAGTGCTAATGTATATGTCTACCCATTGATTGAATTTTTTTTTTTTTTTTTTTTTTTTGGTAATGCTAGAGATAAAACCTAGGGCTTTTCTCCTGTGAGGCAAGCACTGTACCATGTACTATACCCCCATCCATATTGACTGGAGTTCTTGTTTACCTGTCTTTATCAAGCCTCTGCTTCTACCAAAGTGTTTATTGAAATGTAAATCTGATTATATCATTCCTCTGCTTAAAAGTCCTCAGTTGCTTTTCATTCTTATCAGAATATTTCTTACAGTAATACATAATATAAGACAGAAGGACTCTTATCTGGCTTATATCTTACCCTTTAACTGTCTTCTCCTCGCTCATGTTTTTATTTTACAACTTGCTACTCTTTTTAGAATTCTGTTCCTTACTGTAGTTCATGTTAATATAGTTCAGGTAGTCTTCAGCTAGGAGAAGCCTTTTTTGAAATCTTTCTTTTCCTTGCCAGTCAGATATAATTGCCTTTCCTCTTTGTTGCCATAGAGTCTTACAGTTGCATTGTTACTATAATTTTCTGTTTACTAATCTCTTCCTCGCCAACTGCTGAACTCATTGATGACAAGGACTGTGTATTTATGTAAGTTGTGTTTTGTTCCAAAGAGAATTTGTGGTTTAGGCATTATGTTTGTATCCCTGTGTTCCTCCCCAAAAAGTAAATGAATTGGCTTAGGAGAAAAAGAGTAACTCAATTCTGAGGAGTTTTCTTTCTCTTTTTTTTCATTTTTAATTTTTTAGGTTACCAAAAGGGATGAAGACTCTTCCCTGATGCAGCTAAAGGAGGAATTTCGGAGTTATGAGGCACTACGCAGAGAACATGATGCCCAAATTGTTCATATTGCTATGGAAGCAGGACTCCGTATTTCACCTGAGCAGTGGTCTTCACTCTTATATGGTGACTTGGCTCATAAATCACACATGCAGTCTATCATTGATAAGGTTTGTGAAATTAGAGATAACTGATTTTATACCCTTTGAAAAGTATTGGAATGCAGGTGCTCCTCTACCTAAATTCTGGAAAACTCATCTATATTGAAAATGCATTTAATACGTTTAACCTACCAAACATTATCACTCAGCAACATTGTACACCATAGTGTATTGATCGTTTACCCTCATGATCCACATAAGAGCTACAGCTTAGTGTCTGTGCCCAGCATTTTAAGAGTATCATACTGCATATCCTAGTCTGGCAAAAAAAATCAAATTAAAACTCTCAAATACTGTTTCTACTGAATGTTTTCCACCATTGTAAGGATTAAAAAAAAAATCCTAAATCAAACTATTGTAAGTCAATGACTGTATTTTAAAGAACTAAGGAGACAAACAGTTCGAGATTTCCATGTTTTTAAATATGAGACTATTTCAAATTAACTTTTTTTTTTTTTTTTTGGAGACAGGAGCTTGATATGTAGTTCAGGCTAGTCTTGAACTCACTGAGTAGTTTAGGCTGACCTTGAACTCACAGTGATTTTCCTGCCTCAGCCTCTCAAGTCAGCCTGGGATTACAGGCGTACATCACCATGCCTGACCTGTCTGTCTGTCTATCATCTATTTATTTTTTTGAGACAGGGCCTTCCTATGTAGTTCAGGCTAGCTTTGAACTCACTGTGTAGCCCAGGTTAGCCTCAAACTTGCAACAGTCTTCCTTCCTCCACCTCCCAAAGTCTGAGATTACAGGTTTCTTTTTTATTATTATTATTACTTGTTCACTTTCAAAATTAAGGGATATGAGAGAATCAAATATATTACCATAAAAGCAGTTAGGCTTACAAAGTCTCAAGTTTATCAGAGAATAAATACATTTTATAAATGTTTTCTAAGTGTCTAATGATGAATTTCATAGGGCAGATTCTGAGGTGAAAATTTAGTTCATCATTGATATTCCTTCTGTGGAATCTGAAGACACTTGAAAACCTATTACATAGCTGGTCTTTTGAAAGCATTTGAATATATGTGTTTCATAAGAACCAGAGTAAAAAAATTTTCTTTTCTGTTTGTTAGCTGCAGTCTCCAGAATCATTTGCAAAGAGTGTCCAGGAATTGACAATTGTTTTGCAACGAACAGGTGACCCAGCTAACTTAAATAGACTGAGGCCTCATTTAGAGCTTCTTGCAAACATAGACCCTAATCCAGGTATGTAGGGAATTGCTCACATGCTTGTACTTTATCTGCCTTTGAGGTAAGTACCACAAAAAATTACTGCTAACGCCTTTTTCCTTTACTCTGTCCCCTTGACATTTATTTTAGATGCTGTTTCACCGACTTGGGAGCAGCTAGAGAATGCAATGGTAGCTGTTAAAACAGTGGTTCATGGCCTTGTGGACTTCATACAAAATTATAGTAGAAAAGGCCATGAGACACCTCAGGTAGGTACATTTATTCCACTTCTGACTACTGTGATCTCTTAATAGTTTCACCCTGTACATCTTAGTAACCCATTTGATTAATAGAGTCTTTATGTGACTTTTTTCTCTCAGAAGGTTGGTTTGCTTTGCATTGCTTTGGTTTTGTGTGATGCTAAGGATTTTGAAATCAAGGCCTTGCACTTTTCCACTGAGCTACGTCCCTAGGCTTCTCAGAAGTTTTTATTTTCTCTATTTTTTTGAAAGAAACACAGTTTTTAGTATAGCTAACTGATAAGCATTTCACAGTATAGCAAAGTTTAGAGGATATCTTGGATATGAGTTAAATAAGTTTTACTGTTTTGTTTGTTTGTTTGTTTTTGTTTCTTTGAGACAGGGTCTTGCTATGCAGTTCAGGCTGGCCTTGAGCTCACTTTGTAGACAAAGCTGATCTTGAACTCAACAGTGATCCTCCTGCCTCAGCTTCCTGAGTGCTGGGATTACAGGCATGCACCACCATGCCCAGCTATACATTAAATTTTAAAGTAGATTCCTTCCAAATATTTTGTCCAGTTCTTTTTTTTTTTTTTTGTCTTTTTGAGACAGTCTCACTATGCAGTTCAGTTAGACCTTGAGCTCACTTTGTAGCCCAGACTGGCCTTGAACTCTCAATGATCCTCCTGCCTCAGCCTCCCAAGTGCTGGGATTACACGTGTGTGCCACCATGCCCGGCTACTGTGCAGTTCTTCTGTGGGAAATTGTCACTTTTTTCCCTTTTTTATTATGTCCCAAATAAATTTCATTTTGTAAAATGTATAGAATTTGAATTTTTAAGATATTTTCATTCTTCATAAGAAGTTAATAAATCCTTCATTGTAATAATAACTTTCATTTATTAAATTATTGTGGGTTAGTTCCTATGTATAGTACTTAACATAAATTATTTCTAATCCTCATAGCTATCTGCAAGGTAGTTGGTATTCACAAGTTGCAGTTTAAAGAGGTTAAAGAACATCAAAGATTATGCTGTCAGCGACAGCTAGGAGTAAATCTGCTGGAGTCTATTATCTTTTTCACTCTTCTATCCATTAGACATTATAATACTCATATATGAATTAAATGATGTTTTCATCTTGCTAGAGTCACATAAATAAGAATATCTTAGATTTTGATGTGAATTATGGCAGTTATGATTTTTTTATGTTTTATCTATTTGTGGGAATTAAACATCTGAAGCTTAATAGTTGAGTTATATCTCCAAGTTAACTAATGAATTAGTAATTTTTCACTTTTAGGTGAATTTATTTTACCATTCCTGAGAAAGTTTAAGTGAACAAAGCGTATGGCTTTTTTTTTTTTCGTTTTGAGACAGGGTCTTGCTGTGTAGTTCAGGCTGGACTTGAGCTCACTGTGTAGCCCAGGCTGGCCTTGAACATGTGGCAACTCTCCTGTATCAGCCTCCTAAGTGCTGGGATTATGGGCGTGGCCACTTACGGCTTTTAAAAATCTAGTTTAGAAAATTCTTTTTTGGTAAAACAATTTTAAGATAGCAATAAGTTAGTAAGAAAATCTTCCTTTCTTAGCTTTTCTTTTCTTGGGCATTGTGTTGCTTGACAAATAAATAGACGTGAAGTTTGAGCCAGTTTCACATAATCTCCAGAAAGAATGTAAAATGTCATCTCAGAGTTATGCTCAATGACATATAACAGAAAACGATAGAATGGTAGTTGTTTCAGAATGAGAATTACTTATCTAATGTGAAAAAGAATTGCAGATATAATCATTAAGCTCTAAGTCTCAAGAGTGAATAATAATTGAAATCTTTTCTCCACATATATTGAATGTTTTCCTTTTTATAGCCTCAGCCAAACAGCAAATACAAGACTAGCATGTGCCGAGATTTGCGACAGCAAGGGGGGTGTCCACGAGGAACAAATTGTACCTTTGCCCATTCTCAGGAAGAGCTTGAAAAGTAAGTTTTAAGAATTTTCTTACATGTTTGATTTTTGGTTATTATGAGACTGTCATATACAATTGTGAGTCTGTGATATCTCAAAAATACAAGTAAGTTTATATTTTAGATTCTTTAGATTGTGAAAATAATCTTTTCTTTTGAAACCATTAGAAAATCAATCTGGGTGTAAGATTAATATGATAAGTGATTTAAGACCTTATCCAGGGATTTTACGTTGAGACCATTTTATAGCTGGAATCCATGGTTCTTCTACCTGTTGAACAATTGTCATGTGTTTTAATTCTTATTTTTTTTCATGCATTTTAATTTTATTTTTTTTTTTTGGTTTTTCTCTGTTACCAGGAACCGAACTCACAACCTTGCGCTTGCCAGGCAGGCGCTTTGCCGCTGAGCTAAATCCCCAGCCCCTCATGTGTTTTAATTCTTAGTGAATATCTTCATCTTGCTTTTTGACACTTTATAGTCAAAATGAGCTAATTTTCTCCTTCATAACCCCCATTCTTCCATCCTGCTCTTTCTCTGTGTACCCTGCCCACCGTGTCTATACCATTTTATGAGAGACTTTGTTGTCAACTATTTTTCCTTCAGCTTTCCTTACTTGATCATTTACTAAGTTCTGCCAATTCAGTTTCTGACGTGTCTTTTAACTTTCGTCGTTGTATCCTTACAGTCATCCATTATTGCCTCCTAACTAGTCTCACTTAACATCTGTTACCCACCTCCTCTCCCATTATTTGCCACACAACAGCAGTATTTTAATAGTATAGCTCTACCCATGTTACTCCTATGCATCTGTCTTTGATATTTTCTTTTTTTTTTCTTTTTCTTTTTTTTGTCTTTTTGAGACAGGGTCTTGCTATGCAGTTTAGGCTGACCTTGAGCTTACTTTGTAGCGCAGGCTGGTTGAACTCACAATGATCCTCCTGCCTCAGCCTCCCAAGTGCTGGGGTTATAGGTGTGTGCCACCACACCCGGCTTTTTGTATTGTGTGTATTTGATAGTTTCTTATTACCCTAAGGTTGAAGATAGAAAATTTGGGTTGTGGAAAGAATGACCATTGTCACGAAATCAAATAATAACATATTGGAGAGGCTGCAAGGAAAAAAGAAACTCTTACACTGTTGATGGGAATGTAAGCTAGTACAACCACTATGGAAATCAGTATGGAGATTCCTTAAAAAATTGAAACTAGGAATTCCATTTGTCGCAGCTACTCCCATCTAGGGATCTTCCCAAAAGAGTTGAAGACATCATATTACAGTGATATATGCATATCTGCACTTATAGCAGCATAGTTCATAATAGTTAAATCTTGGAAATGGCCTATCTGCCCATCAATAAGATGAGTGGGTTAAAAAAATGTATTTATACACAGTGAAGTCCTGTTCTGCCATAAAGTAAGATAAACTAGAGAGGTTTGTAAGAAAATGGATACATTTTGGGATCAGAAAGTTTAGACACACAAGCTTAAATATCACATGATTTCTTTTATCTGAGAAAACTGTAGTAAAAATAAAGAGCAAAATAATAAGATAATAGGAAGTAGGGAGATAGACGTTCTTTAAAGGGAAAAGGGATCAAGAGATGGAGGGAGAGGAGGGTTAGGGAGTGAAAAAGGAATTGTGGGGCTGGGGATTTAGCTCAGCGGCAAAAAACGCCTGCCTGGCAAGCGCAAGGTCGTGAGTTCGGTTCCCGGTACTGGAAGAAAAACCAAAAAAAAAAAAAAGCAAAAGGAATTGTGATGTGATGTGTTATGTACATGTACCAGCTCCACCCAAAGAATGTAAACATTATATACTACACACATGTACTAATAAACTAAACTAAAATTAAAAAAAAAAAAAATCTGGGTTATGCACATAAGACACTGCATTTTTTGACCTGGGCTATCTTTCTAATCTCATGTCACGACACTCCCTAATTCTGCTTTATGCTCAAGCCACACTGATTTTCTGTCAGTTCTTGTATGACACCATGCTCCTTCAGGTCTTTCATGTAATGCTGTTCCTTCTAGCCTTACCTGTGGGCTCTGCTTTTAGTCTGTCCATCCTTCACTTTTTTGAAGAGGATCTGTTCCTCACTTCATACAACCAGGTTCTTTCTTCTTTGTCACATATATCACATTTATAATTAGTTAGTGGCCTATTTTAGAAGTTGACAGCTGGGGATATAGCTCAGTGGCAAAAGTGCCTGCCTGGCAAGCGCAAGGTCCTGAGTTCAGTTACCGGTACCAAAAAAACACCCCCAAAATCAAAACAAAACTTTGCTGTATTTGGTGATTTTATTTGCCAGGCCTGGTGGCACACGCCTATAATCCCAGCACTTGGGAGGCTGAGGTGGGAGGATTGTTGCAGATTTGAGACCAGCCAGGGCTACAAAGTGAGCTCAGAGCCAGCTTGAACTACATAGTGAGACCCTGTCTCAAAAAGACAAAAAAAAAAAAAATCAATAGAAGTTGACACATTTTTTTCTAGAAAATCTAAGTATTAAATAGTATTGACTTTGTGTGCCATAGTTTCATTGCAAAAATTCAAGTCCATATTAAACAAAAAAGCCACACGAAATGTGTAAAATGCACACTGATATAAAGTTTATTTACAAAAACAAGTAACTTTGGTCCACATGCCATGGTTACTCAACCCCTGATCTTTTTCTTGATATTTGTCTTCTTGCTTAAGTGTATGCTCCGTGGACTATGTCTGACTTACTTATTGTCTTCTTTTTCCATTGCTAACGTTCAGTCCTGCATATAATGAGTTCTATAATAGCAGTAGTTCTATAGAGAAGATCTATGCCTGTGGTAAAAAAGGACAGCAACATGTTTCTCTTCTTTTTTTTTTTTTTTCCCTCTTTTTGAGACAGGGTCTCGCTGTGCAGTTCTGGCTGGCCTTGAGCTCACTTTGTAGCCCAGGCTGGTCTTGAACTTGCAACGATCCTCCTGCCTCAGCCTCCTGCGTGGCTGGGATTACAGGCATGTGCCACCACGCCCAGCATGTTTCTCTTCTTGATTTTTTTTTTTTTCTCCTAAAGAACCTAGAAAGGCTTCAGGAATCCTCAGAAAAATGTCATTTATACCCATCTTACTCTCTATGCAGAAAGATAATTTCTGAAATTATAGGAGATATATTCACCTAGTCTATACCTGAAATTGAGATTTTTATCCAAAATACAGCTTTTGAGAGGCCCTTGCTTGGAAGTATTTAGAGTAAAACATGTCAGAGTGGAAACTCTGTGGTTTCATTGCCATTTCATCATCAACTGGTGCCCCAGCTGCAAATCTATTATACCTTTCCTATGTCTTTTACTCTTGTGTCCAGGAGTTGGTTCTGAACTATACTATCTTTTCTCAGAATTGTGATAGTAATAATAATAATAATAATAGTAGCTAAAATAATTGATCAGATTTTATGTCTAGTACCAGTTTTAGTGTTTCACATGTTAATCTAATTTATTTTATTACTTTACTGACTTTACTTGATATTTCCCTGTGTATTAACCTGTCTTTGGCATTTTGAATAAAAATTTTTTTTTCCAAAATACTTACCTAATCAGTATGGCTTTACATTCTTAGTTGTTTTCTCATTACAGCACAAATCTGGTCTAAACCTTGCTTTCTAGTATTACTCTTTTAAATAATTGTCTAAGGTACATCCATTTAATCACTGTTGACGTGGTACTATGTGGATTTTTTTCTTCTTTCCTCTTATAGAGCTGTTTTCTTCTCTTACGTGCTTTTCTCTCTTTTCTCTATGTAGAAAGATATTTTCCCTCAGCACACTCCCCTCATTTGCCCTCAAAGTGTTTATTTTCTCCTTCAGAGCACTACTGTAGAACTTGTCTTAGTTCTTTTCATGGTGTTATAATAGAATTTCACAGACTGGATATGGTAAAAAAAAAAATGTACTTGACTCACAGTTCTGGAGAGTGAGAAGTCCAAGATTAAAAGTCCACATCTGTTGAAGACCTTTTTTCCTGGATGAACCTATGGTAGAATGTGGGAGAACAAAAAGAATCAATGTGCAGGGATGGAGAGGGAAAAAGAGGGAGAGAAAAGGGGTTTAACTCATCCATTTATCAGGAACCCACTCCTGAGATAATGGCATTAACCCATTATTGTCATCTTGTAAACATCCTGCCTCTCAACACTGTTGTATTGGGAAGTAAGTTTCCAACACACGAACACATTCAAACCAGAGGAACACTCTATACATAGCAATTATAACTAATAGTTGTAAAATTGCCCTATTGCTTTGTTTTTTTGTTTTTTTTTCCTGTACTGGGAATCGAACTCATGACCTTGCACTTGCCAGGCAGGCGCTGTGCCGCTGAGCTAAATTCCCAGCCCCTAAAATTGCCCTGTTGCAATTGTTTTATTTATGTGTGTGTTTTTTCACTGGACTTCATTAATCCATGGGTTACTCAGCTTTATATTTCTTGTACCTACCAAATATCTATTGTGTAATCTCAATATATTGGTGTGTAAAAAGCATATAATCTAGTTTTTGTTTCTTATTTCCAACCAGTTTCACACTTTTCTGTTGCTGTTAGAAGAAACAAACAAATAGGGGTCATTTGAAGGATTAGAGGAGTTGCTGTCATTATATCAACTTGATTTAAAATACATGTTACTGCCTCACAGATTTTTGAAATTAGGATTTCTTTATTTTACATAAAAACTAAAAGGTCAACAAATGTTTTTACTTAGATAACTTAATTTTATCCCTGCTTACTTTTTCTTCTGTCCCCTCTGACCAAACAAAATATAGATGCTCAACAATCTCTTTTTAGAATGAATGTTGGAATTCTGCTTCTATGAATTCCTGTATTCTGAGAAGTGTCAAAAGCCTGGATCAGCCAACCCCACAAATATTTATAAAAGATTATCATGTGCTGAGTGCTATTTGAAGGACTTTTAGTGGAGAAAAAGGAACAGTAAACATGTAAATAAATCATTTCATTAGTTTGGTGGGCTACAGCAAGAAATTTGGATATTAGTTTGGTGGCAAATGGAAGTAATTATACGGCTTATTCAAATGGAATAATGAAGTTTTAACTTGTCTTAGAAATGTCACTGTGGAGCCAGGTGCAGTGGTACATGTCTGTAATCCTAGTACTTGGAAGGCAGAGGTAGAAGGATCTTGAGTTCGAGCCCACCTGGGCTGTTAGTGACTTAGTGAGACCCTGCCTCAAAATAAGAACAGGGCTGGAGATGTAGCTCAGTGTGAAGGCCCTGTATTCAATCCACAGTACCTCCAATAAAAGGAAGAATGAGCTGGAAATGTCTCTCAGTGGTAGAGTGTCCCTCATTTCAATCCCCAGTATTGCAGGACCAACATAAAGAAATGACACTGTGGTGCCTGTGTGAGTGGAGAGGTGGTGGGTTTGGTAACATGGTCACAGAACTGTAGCAATGGAAATATGTAGCAATGGAAAATAGTTACATTTGGGATTCATTTTGGAAATAGAGCTGACACAATGGACAGATTTAATATAAAGAAAAGAGGGTTCAAGGAACCAAGGTTTGAAGCCTGCATAACAAAGTAGTGTCTTTTATTGAGATGGAAAGTGTTTTGGGACAGAAAATCAGTAGTTCTCTTAGCTATATGAAGTTTAAAGCTCACTCCATTAAGCACCTAATGTCCAGAAGACCCCATATCATATGCTAAATATAGAAAGGTGCATAACAAGGGCAAAATCTCTGACGTCACTGGACTGACACTGAAGTAGAGGAGACCAGCATAAAACACATAAGTATGAAGTATAATACCTAGTACCGATTGGTGCAAAGAAGAAAAAGTGGATACAAGGTAAGAAAAAATAATAATTAGGAAGAAATAACAGACACCTGAATGAAGTAATGATACGTGAGAGAAAGATAAGTACAGGACTGAAGTCTTTAGAAGTCTTGAGGCATCTAGGCTTGAGACATGGGCGCCAAGTAGAGAGATTGGCTTTATTAGAAACTGGAGTTCTCTGTCCTTTTTTGTAGCAAGATTAGAGAAGGTTAGTGGAATTGGTGTTAGAGAATTCTTTTCTAGTTTCATCTGTCTTCTTGGTTAAGTGATAGACAATATCACAGGCTGTGGAGGGACTTTAGAGAATGGAGGGGAAAAGAATGTTAGAGGTGGAAAAGTAAACTTAGTAAAGAATTATGTTAATGAATGGTTTGGCCATTTAAAATAATTTTCTCCACCAACATGTAGCTATTTGGGAAAGGCACAGAATAAGTGCAGTATTTTGATTAGGGTTTTACCAAGTTAATACAGGACTCATGAGACCATTGAGTTAAAGGTATTTACAAGGGAGGGATTAATGGTGGATAATGGATTTTAAAATGGGTAAAGAAGTACTTGAGAGAGCTTATGGATGATTTTAAAAAAGAAAAAATAAGGAGGCCAGGCATGGTGGTGCAAGCCTGTAGTCCTAGCATTCAGGAGACTGAGGCAGGAAGATAGCTGTGAGTCCAAGGCCAGCCTGAGCTACATAGTCTAATGACAGCCTGAACTACATAGTAAGACCCTCTCAAAAAAAAAAAAAAAAAAAAGGAAAACAAGTCTGGGGTTCAGTTTATAAGTCCAAGCCTATAGTTGCTCAGATTCCAAGACATGCGTGTATATCCCCTCCTCTCACTCACTTTGCCTCACTTGGTTAAGGTTTCACTTACTCTTAATTCCTCTCTTCTTTTGTTTTTGAGACAGGGTCTTGCTATCTAGTTCAGGCTGGCCTTGAACTCAACTGTTTAGCCTAGCCTGACCTCCAATTCTGGCAGTCCTCTTGCTTCAGCCGGAGTGCTGGCATTACAGGCATGTGGCACCACGCCCCCCCAATTCCTCTCTTTTAAAGAGACTTATGTACAAAACTTTGCTTGTTTCACCAGTTTTAAGAATATCGGAGCTGGGTGTGGTGGTGATTCCTGTTATCCCAGCACTAGGGAGACTGAGGCAAGAGGATCACTGTAAGTTCAAGACCAGCCTGAACTGCATAGCAAAACCCTGTCTCAAAAAAAAAAAAGGTCAAAGAAAGAATGTCTGAAATTTGTTGTTTGGAGGTGAAAAGCAAGAAGTAAGTGGGCATTTTGTATAAGAACTTTGAAGACAAGAATGAAGAGTAGGTGTTCACATGTTAAAGAAAGCACAGTGATCCCTGGACCTGGTCCTTTCAGGTCACCAATTGTGTTTCTGAAATACAGGACTGTTCATGCCCTTCCTCCTTCAAGAAGTAATCATTCGCTCAGTGTCTACAAGATAATATTTAGGCCATCACCAGGATTTTTGTTTTTTTAATTTTAAGCTCCATGTTCTCTTATTCTACCTTTACCATTCTAATCTGAGAGTGCTTGTCTTTTATTGAGCTTCATCTTTTGTGTGTGGGTGAATAATGAAGCTGTTTATAGATACTGAAGGTCCGAAAGGGAACCTATTCTGAAAACATTCCTTATCGCTAACTCTATTAGCATTAAATATCACATTAATTTAGGTATAATCATGACTTCATATGTATGTAGACTTCTTTCTGCTTATGTAACTTATTTTTTCCCCACTTAAAAATATTGGAGGGGACGTTATAGGAAATAAGGACTAAGAATAAGACTACATTAATCTACAAGTAGAAACAGATTTTCTTAAATGAAATTTAAGATTGGATTGTTTCCTATATTAGAGTATTATGTCCTATCACCATAAATAAAACTCAGAACTTAGTTTCAGAAAAATCTTTTGTTTGTTTTTTTTTTTGAGACAGGGTTTCAGTATGCAGTTGAGGCTGGCCTTGAATTCACTGTGTAGCCCAGTTTGGCCTTGAGCTTAGGGCAATCCTCCTGCCTCAGCCTTGGGAGTGCAAGGATTACAGGAGTGCACCACTATGCCTGCTTCAGAAAAGTGTTTAATCCAAGCAATTTTTACCTTAGGCTTAAAGTAATCTGAGAAATGTAATACAAAATTTCTACATTTTGGTGTAATGTTTAGAATGAATTTTGAGTTTTTAAAATCTTTAAAATCATACCATGCTTTAACAGTTTATTAACAGTAGAAAATGTTTTCAGCTCTTACGTACCTTTTCTCTTCATTTTATAGTCCACTACAAAATTTTCCAACATTGTTTTCCCACTCTGTCAAAAAGCTGCTTTGCATACATGTGTACTTAGTTGACTGTATTATGTGCCTGTATATACATGTATATACGTACATGAATGGTATATATGTCTTCATGTAACATTAGTCACACAGTAGTATTTGATGTAGAATGTGTTCGATTTTTAGTTGAAGGAACTTTTCAAGGCTGTTTCCTTTTTTAAAAATACTTTTCCATTTTTTGGGAGGGGTTCAGAGTAAGATTTAGACCAATATTCACCAATATATTGTTTTTAAACAGGTATCGATTAAGGAACAAAAAGATCAATGCAACTGTAAGAACATTTCCTCTTCTAAATAAAGTTGGTGTAAACAACGCTGTCACAACCACAGCCGGAAATGTCATTTCTGTCATAGGAAGTACTGAAACAACGGGGAAAATGGTTCCAAGTACAAATGGAATTTCAAATTCAGAAAACAGTGTTTCCCAGCTAATTCCACGTAGCACTGACAGTACATTAAGAGCTCTGGAAACTGTGAAGAAAGTGGGGAAAGTTGGCACTAACGGTCAGAATGCTGGTGGGCCCTCTGCAGAGTCTGTAACTGAAAAGTAGGTATTAGGTAAAAATGATTAATATTGTTCTTTTCCTTTTTGGAAATGCCTGAGTATTTTTTTTTTTAATCCTGAAAAAGAACACTTGAATTTTTATGCAGAATGTTTCAAGTAGTAGGAAAAGCACTAAATACCAAAAATTTTGAGTTCTAGACTTTAATTTGCAACTGAATAGCTCTGCAAAATTGGAATGTCACTTCAACTCTTGAGTTTTGTTTTCCTCTAATGTACACTGTAGAGTTTGGACCAGAATTGGGTTTTTCATACCTTATTTCCTTGAACTTCAGGATTGATTCCCTAGAGGTACCATAAAGAAACTAAGTAGAAACCTGAGCAGGTGAAAGACTAAACCTCTAGCCGTATTTCAATCTGAACATTTGCGCTGCATACTCTATAATAATGCATAGTTAAGAGGAAAGCGAGGCATGGTAGGCATGCCTGTAGTCCCAGCACTTGGAAGGCTGAGGCAGGAGGATCTTTGCAAGTTCAAGACCAACCTGGGCTAAAAGGTGAGCTCAAGGCCACCCTGAACTGTATAGTGAGACCTTGTCTCAAAAAGACAAAGAGAAGAGGGTAATCTTTGGAACTAAACTCTTTGGGCTTAAACTATGGTGCACTTTTTCCTAGCTGTTTGGCCTTAAGCCAGCTACTTAATCTCTCTTCCTCATTCATAAAGTTAGAATATCTTTATGGGCTAAACATGAAGTAGTAAAGTGCTTTTGTATGTGTGAGGGCCTAGATCTCCTCTCCAGCCCCATTAAAAAATAAACAAACCCATTTCATATATTGGTTGTGAGAATTAAATGAGTTAATGCTACCTTGTATTTTGAGTAGGGCCTACCAATTAGTAAGTACTCAAACGTCTGACTTTTGCCTTATTATTCCCACCATTGTTGTTGTTTGTTATCAGCTTAAGATTTTATTTCATAAAAGATTCTGTTCCCTTAAAGTTTTAAATTTTTCAGATGATTTAGAAAGTTACTTCCAATTCTAAAATGTCATATTTTGTATATTTTGAGACTTAAAACCTTTTTTTTTTTTTTTTTTTTTGGAGATAAGGTCTCAGTGTGCATTTTAGGCTGGTACTGAACTTACTATGTAGCCTAGACTGGCCTCAAACTCTCTGCAGTCCTCTTGCCTTGGTCTCCCAAGAGTTGTGATTACAGGCGTGGGGAGATTTAAAAACTTAGTTAAAGCATGTTCAAATTTTGTTGCCCACAAATGGTCTGTCAGTACCTATTATATGCCTGCTATGATAAAAGCATCATGCTAGGTACACAGTAGACTGCTGTTCAATTCTTGTAATAATGCTAATATATGCCCTACTTGCAGTTTAGTATTATCTTCTCTGAAACAGATTTTAGAACATATATATCAAAGGCAATGTCCAGTTAATAAATGTAAGTTACGTATTCATTCTAAACTTTGATGTGACACTGTTGAAAGTACATGAGACAACATATCTCCACCTTTAAGGTATTTATGATGCTGGAGTTTTGGAGACGGCATTTATACAAAATGAAGTATGGTAGAATTGGAGTCAAGGATGGAAAATCTTTTATATTGTTGGGGAGAATGTGGGAAAAGAATTTCAGAAAATAGCATAATACGTATTAAGTTCATTGGTAATTATATAGAATATTGAGACTGGCCTGTTAGAACTGAAGGCTTATGTTAGTGACTAGACTAAAATAAGATTAGATAGATAGATTGACACCAGATTAGAAGACCTTATGTTATATATGTTTTTTTTTTTTTTTTTCCTCCGGTACCAGGAACCGAACTCACGACCTTGCGCTTGCCAGGCAGGCGCTTTTGCCTCTGAGCTAAATCCCCAGCCCCTTTATGTTATATATGTTTAAGGGATGAATTTTAGCAAGGTAGTATAATTTTTTATCTATACAATGGAATATTGTTCAGCTATTAAAAAGGAAGTGATGTACTACTACATGCTTTATGGTTGAATCTTGAAAATATGCTAAGTAAAAGAGGATAGATATATAAGACCAGATACATGATTCCATTAATGTGAAATGTACAAAATAGGCAAATTTATAGCAAAAGTACATTAGTGATGGAATGGGACGTGAATGTTAATAGATGTAGATTTCTCTTGAGGATGATGAAAATATTTCAGAATCAAATAGTGATGATTGTTGAAAAATCTTGTGACAATATCAAAAACCAGTGAATGTATACCTCAGAAGGGTAGATTACAGCTCAATTTTACTTTATTTTCTTCGTGCTGAAAGTCAAACTCAAGGCTTTGTGCATTAATGCACATGATCTACCACTGAGCTATACTTCCGGCCCTTGTATCTTATTTTTTAAAAAAATGATCTTGGAAGGAAAAATAATAGTAAATAAATCACACATTGATTACATAATATGTGCTAAACACCCGGACAACTGATGTAGCTAGTGAAAAGGAAGTATAATAGATACATTCTCTGCCTTTTAAGGGTTGTGTATTGTAGTCTGGGAGGTAAACATGTAAACAGATAGCATATAATACATTCTGAAAAGTTCTGTAATGGAGTTATGTTGTTGGAACATAGGAAAAGGAATAACTAATTCTTCAGGGAGGTTTTATAGAAGAGTTCTTAGAGGTAAAGTGATGATACTGGGGTACCTCCACAAGTGTACATAACAAAGTCAAAAAACCTTTGTGGATAAAGAAAGCACAAGCAAATCATGGAAGTATGAAGGGGACTGCTTGGAAGGAAAGCCTATATCCTCAGCCCTTTAAAATTTTGATACAGGGTCTTGCTGAGTTACTAAATTGCCCAGACTTGTCTCAAAACTTGTAATCCTCCTGCCCCGGCCTCCCAGAGTGCTAGGACTAAAGGTGTGCACCACCACACCCTCCTCAATCATGAATTTAGATGCCTTTCTCCTGATAAGTTTAAGAATTTGCCATTTCAGTAAACTAATCCAGATTTTATAACAATATTTTTCGATGGACCATATAATCTGTGTGACACACTTGCATAATACTTAGAATATATTCAGTAACAACTCCATAAATGTTAGTCATCATTGTTAGAATATCCTAGTCATTTTCCTATTGCCTGTAACTTACTGAAAGAATAAGTAAAAACCTAAAATATCTTTAAAACTCTAAGCCAAGACATTTATACCTGTGTCACCCACAGTTCTTTAGTTATCTCTTCTTTTTTTTTTTTTTTTTTTTGTACTGGGAATCGAACTCATGACCTTGCGCTTGCCACGCAGGCGCTGTGCCGCTGAGCTACATCCCTGGCTCTCTTTCATTTTAATACATAATTACAGGTAGAAGTAAACACTTGCTACTAGACTGATACGCTGCACTAAATTTAAGACAGCGCATATACATTGTTGTTTATATTTCTAGCTTTCAAGGGACTTTTCTAGTTTGAGAGAAACTCTAATCTGGTTAGGATATAATATGTTAAATTCCTGACTAACAAAATCATTTTTTGAGTTAATGCATATTTAAAGCTCTGCCCAAGTTCTTAAAAGACTGTAAGAAAGCTGTTGTAAGGTCCTCTGGAACCTTAATTAACTGGTTACTCAACTAAGAGAATTATTCTGTGTTTGAGGGGAAAAAGGGAAAAGATTTGGATATTTTGAATCAGTTTAATGAGTTACCATTTCAATCACCCATTAGATATTTACTAAGTACCTACTGAGTGCCAGGAACTATTTTATTTGTCCAACAAGTATTTACTGAGTGCCTGTGGTGTGCCACGAACTGTTTTGGGTGCCAAAGACATAAGGTTTAACAAAATAGATCAAAAAAATTTTTTTTCTTAGAGTACATTTCAGTTAATGTAACTCTTAATAGAAAACACCATGTCTGTCTTTTTCTTTTTTGTTTTTTTTTTTTTTTTTTTTTTTTGGTTTTTCTCCGGTAGCAGGAACCGAACTCACGACCTTGCACTTGCCAGGCAGGCGCTTTGCCGCTGAGCTAAATCCCCAGCCCCAACACCATGTCTGTCTTCTTTGTCCCAAATAATTCTACTAGTGGACTATATTGTTTATCTTTGGAACTTATTGAGCATGATTTCTTTTAATTCCCTGTAGGAAAACTCTTTGTTTAAAGAATGGGTACAAAGGGACTGATGAATCACTTTAGTGCCTAGGATTTGTTTTCATTTCCTCTTGCACTTACTAGAATATGAAATCTGTTATTATGATCTTGTGAATTAGCATATGTAAGGTGGCAGTGAAATTCCTTGCCTTAATTGTCACAGTGGAAATATCTAACTTGTTTCCTGTTAATTGTTTCAGTATATAATTTTATGAAAAACTGAAGCATCATAGGTAGTGATTTATCTTTTGGCCTTTGTTAAATTTTTTTTCCAGTAAAATTGGTTCTCCACCCAAGACTCCTGTAAGTAACATAGCTGCTACCTCAGCTGGGCCTTCTAATGTTGGAACAGAGCTGAATTCTGTGCCTCCAAAATCCAGCCCATTTCTAACTAGAGTACCAGTATATCCTCAGCATTCTGAAAACATTCAGTATTTTCAAGATCCAAGGACTCAGTTACCCTTTGAAATCCCACAGTACCCACAGACAGGTAAGTAATTTTAGGCAATTCTAAGAAAAAAAGAAACTTTATAGTTTCTAATGCTTTCTTCTGCTAATGTTGTTTCCCTTAGATAAATGCAGGAGTCATTTTTATATATATCTAGAATGTCTGCATTAAAAAGTTAATCACTTTGACTATATAAATCATGAACTTTTTCCTAAGAGTCTGTGGTTTTAAATACCAGGTTTTTTTATTCACATATGTTTCGTGCATATACATGGGAGAACAAAGTGATAGAGAACTCAAAGGGATGATTAGAACATGAGATTGTGTATCATCTTACAAGAACAATAAAAATAGGAAAGTGACAAGACAAAGGCAAAGGACTTTAGGGGCTGGGGATTTAGCTCAGTGGCACAGCGCCTGCCTGGCAAGCGCGACATCGTGAGTTTGATTCCCGGTACTGGAAAAAAAAAAGGAAAAGGACTTTAAGTTCCTAGGGTGCCAAACCGTGAGAAACTAAATAAATGGGAAAGTCTAGTCAATAAAGCTTGTATGATTCCTGTGGTACCCTCTCGGCTGAAAAGGATCTAAAGTTCTATGTTAACTAGCTTCTGTCCCTCCTTTTAAGAAAGGGAATGGAAACACATATACAAACATTTTATCCTGCATTTAGGGAAATGAGAAGAGATAGAGATCTTTTTCTTGTTTCTGCTTTTTTTCACTTAACTTCAGCTCAAAATAATCCTTATGCCAAAGTGGTATATTCTGGCATATTCTGCCATCCTTTTGTGTCCTGACTAGGTTTTATTTCCTTTGTTTCCTCCCCTCTAATAAAAAACATTACAGTTTTACACATTATTGGGATACCCTATGATACACATGCTATATAATGTTTAAACATACCTATCTTTTCAAACATTGGTCATTTCTTTATGGTGAAAAACATTCAAAATCCTTTCTTCTAGCTTTTTGAAATACATGAAGTATATAATTATCTACAGTATCCTAAATGGGAGTTCTTTCACATACTGATTTCTTTTCCTTTGGGTATGTACCCAGTGGTGGGATTGTTGGATCATATGGTAGTGCTGTTTTTATCTTTAAGGAACCTCTGTACTGTTTTTTTCTATATCCTTATCAGCACTTCAATATTTTGATAATAACCATCATTCTTACTGGAATGAGATATCTCATTTTGGCTTTTACCTTGTATTTTCTTGATTCATTAATATAATATTGAACATTTTCTCATATACATATTTGTATGTCTTTTTTTTTTTTAACATTACTGGGGATTGAATCCAGGGTCTTCACAATGAACTATATCCCCAGCCTTTTATTTTTTATTTTGAGGCAAGTTCCTGCTAAGTTTCCCAGGCTGGCCTAAAACCTGTGATCTTTTTGCCTTAGCCTCCCAGAGTGCTGAGATTACAGGAATGTGTCATGATGCCTGGCTTGGGTACCTTCTTTTGAGTGTGTATCCATTTATTTTTTTTATTTTTATTTTTGTTTGGTTTTTCTCCGGTACCGGGAACCGAACTCACGACCTTGCACTTGCCAGGCAGGCGCTTTGCTGCTGAGCTAAATCCCCAGCCCCCCATTTATATAATTTTGTAACAGTGGGACTTGAACCCAGAGCCTTCCAGTAGACTACATCCCCAGCTCTTTGGTTTTTGTCTTTAAATTTTGAGACAGGGTTTTTACTGACTTCACTAGACTGGCCTTGAATTTGAGATCTTCAGGCCTTAGCCTCTTAAGTAGCTGAGATTACAGCCTCGCACCACCGTGCTCAGCTTCCATACATTTCTAATTGGATTGTTTTGTTACTATTCAGATTTGGTTCTTTGGGCCAGGAATATAGCTCAGTGGCATAAGCACCTACCTGGAAAGAGCAAAGTTTTGAGTTCGATTACTGGTATTAAAAAAAAAAAAAAAAAAAAAAAAGATTTTGTTCCTTATACATATTCTAGCTATTAACCTCATGTGTAGTTTGCCCTGTTATATATTGGACAGTATATTGTATGTATATTCTGTGATACATATATATATATATACACACACACACATATATATATATAAATTGTTTTCTTCTCCCATTTTATAGGCTGTCTCTGCATTCTTGATTGTTTTCTTTGCTGTGTGGACACTTTTAAATTTGATGCAATCCCAGTTATCTATTTTTGCTGTTGTTTCTTGTGGTTTGGAGGTCTTGTCAAAAAAATCCTTTGACATTCATGTGTCCTATAGTGTTTCTGCTGTTTTCTTTTTTTTCTTTTTTTTGGGTTT